GGCGCCCCATGAACAGATCAAGAGAGGAAACAATGCAGGCTTGCTTTCCCAAACCACAGCCCGCTTCCCAGAAACTCGACACGCCTGTATCAAAGCTACTTTGGGAAACCACAACAATTAGAATTCGCCGTTCCCGCCAGGTCTTGAATTCTTCCAGCTACAACACAGCTTGGCATGGTTCAAATTCATCGCATAGATGAATGTCGCGTGAACTCAGGCTTATCAACTACACAACCAAGCGCAGCCAAGGTACCTAAGTTGCCAAGGTACCACTGTACCTACCCCAGACCCCTCAAGTTTAGTTCGAGTTCAAAAGGTGCATCATGTGACTACCTGACTGCACAGTGGAAGCTGGGGTTTACCGTCTGGCATGTCATTGGCTCCGTCCCTCCATATCCTGTAAGTTTAGCGTCATCCCCGCCAGAAACAGCCACTCACAGGCCAAGGTATCTCGGGCTCTCAGCGGCACGATCCCCATTCTTAGTGGAGACTCTGCAGAGCCCCGAGAGGCGTGAACCTGTCCGTCCGCAGCTTTCCCCAAGTTATCCACCGCTTCGGGTGCTGGGTGCCTCGGATCTCCACTGCCCGCCGGCATTCACATGTCGTAATGCGATCACGAGCCAGCGTCTGCTCCCCAAACTCGCCGCTTCTCCAACAACAAACGACTCAGCCTGCTAATGCGACCACGTGCTTGCGTGAGGCATTTCGAACTACCTCACAACCTCACCATCATCATACACGCAAAGCCAGAACGGTTCAATAGCGATCCCGAGACAGAACATCAATCGCGTTCTCTAGCCTAGCACCTCTCAGCTTGCTACTCTCATTCGTTCCCGCCCTGTGATGGCTACGCATCTATAGTAGCACCTTAACCGTGGCGAGCCTGCGCGACTCGACCTCACGACGACGTCGCAGGTCTTGAAAGACAATCTTCACTTCTACTGCCATTGCCATGGCAGAACAATCGACACTCCGCCAGTCGGCCGCAGAAGAGGCTCTCGCCGCCTTCTTCGAGAAGTATACGACACTGATTCGCAATCGCCTCCGAAGTACTTCCCGCACGACCCGACTGCTCGGAACACTTGCCCTCGCCGCATCAATAGTCCTCAGCGCCGCTGGAGGTAGACGCTGGTGGAGGCAAAGGCGTGAGGAAAAGGAACAGGGCCGCAAACTTGTCCGTACGAATTCGTGGCTGCACAATAAGGACGGATCACGTACGATTTACGTCCCATACAAAGATGGAACCTCCAAGGTTGTCATTCAGACCACAAAGCCGCTGACCTTTGAGGCGCATCGCCGGCTCTTCCTCAACCCTCCGCGGGTATCTGGCCTCGGCGACGGAACCGTTCCCTCAGCGCAGACGAAGCCGGGCTTGAACCTAGCATTCCTGCATCAGTTCCTCAGTCTCATGAGTATCATGATCCCGAGGTGGTCGAGTAAAGAGGCCGGGCTGCTTTTGAGTCACAGCGTTTTCTTGATGCTTCGCACCTACCTTTCCCTCGTGGTCGCTCGACTTGACGGTGAGATTGTGCGGGATCTGGTAGCCGGACAAGGGAAGGCATTCCTCTGGGGACTGGTCAAGGTGAGTGGTGTTCCAAAACCTCTAACCATCACGACCTCAACCAATGCTAACGAATTTTAAAGTGGTGTGGTCTCGGCGGTTTTGCGTCGTACACGAATGCGATGATCAAATTCCTCGAATCCAAGGTGTCGATTGCCTTCAGAACCCGCCTTACTCGGTACATCCACGATCTATACCTGAACAACAACCTCAACTACTATAAGCTCTCCAATCTGGATGGAGGCGTCGGCCAGGGCGCGGATCAGTTTATCACGCAAGATTTGACACTATTCTGTGCTGCCGCCGCGAACCTCTACTCATCACTCGGCAAACCCTTTGTAGACCTTTGCGTCTTTAACTACCAGCTATTCCGCTCTTTGGGCCCATTGGCTCTAACGGGTTTGTTGAGCAACTATTTCCTAACAGCGAGCATTTTGCGCCGGCTCTCGCCTCCATTTGGCAAACTTAAGGCAGTTGAGGGTCGCAAGGAGGGAGACTTTAGGGGGCTGCATGCACGACTAATCGCCAATGCCGAGGAGATCGCCTTTTACGGAGGTGCCGACATGGAGAAGACTTTCCTCAACAAGGAGTTCAAGTCTTTGAAGAATTGGATGGAGGGCATCTACATGCTCAAGATTCGGTACAACATGCTTGAGGATTTCATACTCAAGTACAGTTGGAGTGCGTACGGCTACCTTCTATCCTCATTACCAGTATTCCTTCCAGCATGGGGAGGCCTAGGCGGCGCTGCTGAGCTGGCCGAAAATGCTGCAAAGGGAAGCAGGGAGCGCGGGCGCATGAAGGAGTTCATTACGAACAAGCGTCTTATGCTATCACTTGCGGATGCTGGTGGAAGGATGATGTACTCCATCAAGGATCTCTCCGAGCTTGCCGGCTACACCAGCCGAGTCTACACCTTGATTTCGACACTGCATCGCGTTCACGCCGATGCATATTTCTTGCGAGGGCAACAGAACGAACTTTACTCCCTTTCGGATGTTCAGGGAACCATCCAGAAGGGTTTCGATGGCGTACGTTTTGAAAACGTGCCTGTTGTTGCTCCATCATTATGGCCCAACGGTGGTGAGGAGCTGATGGATTCCCTCTCCATGGTTGTCAGGAGAGGAGAGCATCTTCTGGTGAGTCATTAATCATCTACGGACGTAAAATGACATTGAACTGACGCTCTTAGATATCTGGCCCCAACGGTGTCGGTAAGACGTCTATCGCCCGTATTCTTGCTGGCCTTTGGCCAGTCTACAGAGGACTCGTCAGTCGTCCAAAGGACATTGGTCAGGATGGCATCATGTTCTTGCCGCAACGACCCTATCTCAGCATCGGTACGTTGCGCGACCAGGTCATTTACCCTGACGGGCATCATGATATGCGTGAGAAGAGAAAGTCCGAAGACGATTTGAAGCGCATTTTGGAGGATGCCCGTCTCGGCTACCTTCCCGACCGTGAAGGTGGTTGGGACACCCGTAAAGAGTGGAAAGATGTTCTGAGCGGTGGAGAGAAACAGCGCATGGGTTTCGCCCGCGTATTGTACCACGAGCCTCAATTCGCCATTCTTGACGAGGGTACTAGCGCCGTGTCTCAAGACGTCGAGGGTCTGCTCTACGAAGTGTGCAAGGAGAAAGGAATCAGTAAGTTGAAGAATCATTCCATGTCCTACAGGTTTTCTGACATGATGCAGCTCTCATCACCATTTCTACACGCGCCTCACTCAAGAAGTATCACACGTACAACCTCATTCTCGGAGGCGGAGAACGTGGCGATGAGTGGGAGTTTGAAAGAATCGGAACAGAACATGAGAAGATGCAGGTCGAGAAGGAGCTCCAGGATCTTCGTGAACGCCTTGAACAGGTTGAAAATTGGAAGGCAAGACGCCAGGAAATCGAGGAAGAGCTTTCTAAGGTGTGGGTGGCTGGCGGAGACGAGCTAGATCCTCCTTCCTATGCCGAGAGTGAGAGCGACTCCTCCAAGGGAAAGGGCAAGGAGACGGCGTCGCTGTCTTCAACGCAAGAGATTTTGGGTGACGCTTGAGATAGGGAGGTTGATCTGCACAGTTTTGTACGGATACGACTACAGGATATACGGAGTACCTGGACATGTGGGAGGAAGGTTGATTTGCGTCATTGTTGAACAAGATTAAGAGCCATCACACTAGTATCCATAACCTGTTCATAGAAACTTCGATATTAGTGTCTTGAACACCAAGCCGATTTTCCTACACCACATGTGCCCCTCATTCGATGGTGTTTCTGGTCACTGTGCAATCTGCACATCTGCACACGACGCAGATCGCCATTTCGGTTCCCATCTTTTTGAGCCTCTTCATCCGCCCCCCACGGCATTTCCTACTCCCCCACTTCAACTTACCCTGTCACGCGTGTATTGCAGAAAGATGGATCAGATTATTCGCCAATTGGTCGCTTTCTCTGTTCAGAGTTGAACGCCGACGAAAAGTTCCGCCTTCAGTATATCTACTGCTTCACACCCGCCGCCCCGAGACCCCAAGCTCGAAGTCGAAGGTAATGAATGCCAAAGAGTTTTCAGATCCCTCCTCGTTCAACCCCACGCTGACAGATCAAGGTCCCGGAAAATTTAGCACTGGTCAGAGGTGCTCTGGTGCTGTTTGCCCATCCCCATCTGGCACCCGGGCTTGAGTTTTGGTGGCTTGACGCCGTCGAGTGGTTCCTGACAACTTCTTGTGAGTTTCCTTGTCTTTCGTGGCTCGAAGTGGTTAGCGGTGTCTTAGTCTGGTACCAACCACCAATGATGGCTCGACCAGACTGACGCTATCGTCAAGACTATTTGCTGGGCCGCCGTGAGCTGGACTTCTGAAGGATATTCTCGACGTTGACGACTCCTCTCCACCCCATTGTTCTCTGCAGCCGTTCCATCAACCGTGAAAGTATGGCGGCATGTCTGCAGCTTCCCGACCACCCCGTTTTGTTCGCTACTGCCTAGCGTCGGATTGTCGATGAGAAAATCGACATGCCCGGCTGGCCACCGTCGCTGACGTTCCGCCAAAGCCTGCCAGATCGAGAACCCCTGTGACATCGCGCCCGCGATCCCTGCTCGGAAAGAAGCCGTTCCTGTTGTCGATCACAGAGCAGCACGTCGGACTGCAAACGCTTCCAGACGGGCAAATGCCAGAACCCAGCTGAAATGCAAGTACATGGGTTTGCCACGCATCGCGCACCTTGATCCCACATGTTGTGTGCTCAGCCCTTCGGGTATGCCATGCGACGAGATAGGACCCCTCTCGGGGGAATCTAGACGAAGTCGTTCATCGTCCGGAGCCAAGGAGTGGCTTACACTGCGGCAAACGGGTGGGTTTTCACCTCTTGTTAAGTCGAGCTTTTCAAGGCACAAAATCTCAAACGTAGCATCCTTTGCTCTTGTTCCCCCTCTCCGCACCACTTCTTTGTCTGCCGGGACTCGGTTCATGGTCGTTGACCATCACCCCGTAAACCATCCGACATTCTTTGTTCCTCAGACGTTACCTGAATCGCCAGCCAGAGAAAAACAAACGAGGACTGCTGCCACGCGATATTCTCGATAGCCGACTTTTCCGGCATGCTGGAGTCTTATATGAAGCCGCATGTCTGAGATCGTTGAACGGGCACCAACACTCTAGATCTCGACATCACTGTCTAACAAACCCAGATCCTTGGTTCAGTGAGCCGCATCCGACGCTCTACATTCTGTCAGGTCGGTTCCTTGTAATTGGGTAGTCTTAAGTCCGTGTACTCCTATTCTGTCTTAAGAATCACGACTCATATCATTCTTTACGCCCGCTTTACTACTGGAGATTTGGCACCATCTGCACTCGACAACGCCAAGGCAGTAGAGGCCAAGAGTGACGATATTACAGCAATTTCGTTGCTGTACACCCATCTCAGCGACTTAGCAGTAATCTTACGTCGATTGCCAGTCCTGTATAACAGCAGACAGGCTGTCGCACATCGAAACCAAATACACCACCGCTGTGTGATCTAAATCCAACGACAAGATGCCCAAGTCACCCTTCTCTCCGGGCTCAAGCCGTACCGCATTCTCATCCGTTGGTCGCATGCCTGTCATTGCCGAAGACGACTCCCTGCCCGCCGTCACACACCCAAACATGGCTGCCCTCCCTCCACCACCGCCATGCCGCAGCACGAAACCGAAATACTACGGTCGCTCGCCAGTACCACGAGCCATCAACTCGCATCCGTCCTACCCTCCCCCGGCCTACTCCCGCAGCTCGTCTCGCGACAGTACCCTTAGCACTCTGAGCACGCGCAGCCTACTCAGCGCAGGCAGCTATGGCAGCCGTCCGAGCTCGGGCACATCCACACCCAGGCTTTCTCCCAGGAATTCTCTCAAGGACAAGTCTCAGCTCCTTCCCATCACTACGCCTGTAGGGCCATCGTCGGCTGCGGAGAAGGCCAAGAAGGGGCTCTGGATCGCTCGCCGCGGCAACAGATACCGCATGATAGTTGCGCTTATCCTTGGAATTGGTCTGATTGTTGGTTTGTCGGCTGGTCTGACTGTTGGAATGCGCAGCCCGTATGTAACCTTCCATCTCTTACCCACTTACACCACCACTAACACTTATCAAGATCCCCTTCAACAACGCCAGATACCACCAACTCTACCACCCTATTTCCATCTGGCTCTTTCGCCTTCAATACGGCTCTTTTAGAGTCCAACACTGGATGCACCGCCAACCCGTCGACGTGGCGCTGCTACCCATACCAAAACTACTCGCAATCCGCAAATGACTCTCTCGCATCCTTCTTCTGGACAATCTCCCCGAAGAACTCCTACACCTACCAGGTCTCATCCTCCTCCAACCCCTTCGCCCCGCAATTCACAAACCAGACAATGGTGCTGCTCGAAGGGAACACACTCAACGAGCGTCTCGTCTTCAACTTCTCTCTCCCAAAGACCGTGGTTCCGTCCGAGGCAATCACCGAAGACGGACGCGCCGCGACCTGCACTTTCTCCGACACGGCCTTCCGCGCTACTCTCTGGACGAGACGCAACACGACTACGCCGCTCGGGACTGTTGCGTCTGGGGTCAACGCGACTAGCACTGACGGAAACGTCAAGTGGGGACCGTGGCCCGGCCAGGTAGAGATCGTGCAGGTCAAGAAAGGGGGTCCGGAGTGCCAGGATAAAGCTGGCAACGCTGTCACCGTCGCGGCGGGGAGGGAGCAGTGTAAGTGCAGATATGCCAACTACGACTTGACTTCGCAGCAGAAGACAAGGAGAGATTGGCAGGCATGAGAAAAGTCGGTACTTTTTGCATTGAGGGTTATATGGGCTTCGGCGTTTGGGTTTTGGAGATGGTGAGGTGTACATAGCATGAGGAGTTTTGGATGGCATAGGCATTACGACTAGACTTTTGAAAAGATACCCTATATTGGAAGACATATCTCTTTTGTGTCACAACTTCTTTCATCATCCCGTGATACAATGACCGCTCATACTTATATCTAATTCTTGCCTACTGGCTGTAATGCTACAACGCATCCTGAGCCAGTCAATGTATTAGACCTTGAGATGATGACAAAGCCTAATGCGCAGGACGAATCCTGAGATGTCACGACACCAAGACCGTGATCACATTCACCTGGCCATGGGGGAAAGGCTTTCGGTAAAGATCAAGCTCGTGAGCGTTTAACCCTTAAGAAGTTGTCAAAGCCTAGGCCAGAGGACAGCCTCCCAGACATGGCCTTGTTATCTGGTCTAGCGAGTCCTTTGATATGTGATTAGGGTTCGAGCAAAAGATCTTTAGTATAAAAGGGAGCTCATCAACGTATGTGTGCCTAAAGAGGCTGCTAAAGCTTGACCCGGAGTGTGAGCTCTGCTACATTATTTTGGTAGCTGTTTGTGGCAAATTCGTTCACGACAATTCGTTAATCAAACCATGTGTATAAGCAGCCCATAGGTGTGCGATTTCTATCCGTCCAACGTTCACGTCCACATAGATTCTCTTCACCACCTCATTCTAAACCCCTGCCCGCGGGTGTGCATTTTGATCCCATTGAACGTTTACGATAGAATCTCCTCGCCACTTTCTTCTTCGTCCCTGCTCACTGGTGTGCATTTTCATGCCATTCATCGGTCATGTTCATATAGAGTCTCTTCACCACCTTATTCTTAGTCCCCGCTCACGGGTGTGCATTTTTATCCCATTCATCGTTCACGCTCACATAGATTCTCTTCACCACCTTATTCTTAGCCTCTGCTTGCGGGTATGCATTCTCAACCCATTCGAGGTAGGTCTATGCTTAGATAGATTCTCTTCACCACTTTATTCTTAGGCTCTGCTTGTCGGCTGCTTTGCTCATCACTTAACCCATTTAAGGTCCATGCTCCCATGGATTCTCTTCACCACCTTATTCTTAGCTTCTGCTCGTCGGCTGCTTCGACCATCACGAATACGTCACGGACCAAGCGAGGCTACGGACTGCGGTATTCGAATTCCCTTTTATGGGGCGAGTACAGAAGACAATCGAGCACATTGGCCTGAAGGAAGCTTCCACCAGCAGGGGTGGTCTCGTCGAAGACCATCGAAGAACTGGCCAGGTTACACCTCCTACCTTACAGCTCGATGCATTGTGACAATGAGTCGCCCAATAGCTCGATTTATATACTACGGACATGAACTCCGGTTCCTTCCTAGGTTATTTGACCGCTCCGGTAAAGAAAATGTCTCCGAAGAGTTCACTGGAAGCTACTTAACAAGAGTGCAGAATCACGGCCATACCTCATTTCCTTCCCTTCAGCCAATACTGTCGGGATGGTCTCGGCTACGATGGGAACGGAAGAGCTTGGTCGATTTTTGCCAATGTTACAAGGTTGGATGGTGACTTTCAAGATCGCATCGACCATCTCCAAATTTTCACCTCCCTATTCGTCAGCTCCTTTCACGAACACCGTATCCGTTAACGAATACGTTAACGACAAAACGTTACAAAGAGGAGCGGATAGCTTGGAATTGAGTGAGCATTCGTACCGAGGAGACTTGCTAACCAGTTGCGATTAGTGAGCCTGTCGACGTAGACCCTTCCGACAGCTCAACCAGGTCAAACTCTTCGACACTCCGACAATTCTGTTTCGAGCTCTGAGAGAGACCCTGCCGACGACCCTCAAAACTCCCAGAAACCCCCTTTATCCCCAGCCCTGGTCCTGGGCTCTTCGACTTCCCTGCTCAGTTCCCTTATATGTATTGCATTCCGAATGCGTGTGATGACATTGAGGCTGGTCGATGCCCCAACGATGAGCACCTTTTGCTGGACTGTCGCTACACCCTGACTGGAGGTAATCGGTGTATCTAGTGCATGAAGAGAGGTAATAAATGCGAGAAGACTTAGGAGGTTCTGAGAAGTGAGTACCGATTGTTGAAGCGCCTGGCAGAAGATTCCTCCAACTGGTTGCTATGAACCAGCCCAAGTATATAGAGCTTAGTATAAGGGTAGGGCCTGTATGGGTTTATAGTAATGGCGATGGCTCGGGTCATCAAACACCCACAGAGCCTTATTGTGAGATAATCCCGAGGACACACGAGATGTAATCTTATTGCAATAACTCTCTTTCTTTTCAATATAGCATACACATTTCTATCGTCTTGTTTATGTGAACTATCTAAAACCAGACGCCTGCTTCAAGCAAAGCCAAGAGCCCCAAAAGCAAGTTTGAATCTAACAACATACAAGCCAACGGTTCACCTCGTGAACATTCTTTATACACTATTGTTCAATCCCGATTCTTTTTTTGAAGGATACATGTACCTACCTATAGACCAAAGACGGAGCTAGCCGTCTCTGATCTTCATTCAAACCATACGCCATTCGCTACTCTAGATCCATTACAGTTCTTTACAAAAGGCGGGAGAAATGACAAAACCAGACGATTACAACTCACAAGCTCACTGCTCCGTGGCCTCAATTCTGGTCCATAGCATCGGGGTCGTTGATAAACTCGTCAAATATATCCATCTCGTCACCTCCAATGTCGTGTTGCTGAGCACCCTGGAGAAGAGCCTGCATCTGCATTTGAGGCTGCCTAGAGGGGCCAGGGTCCTGCATGTACTGATTCTGCTGTTGTCTCTGCTGCCGTTGCTGTTCCTCTTGCTGCCACTGCTGCACTTGCTGTTGCTGCCGCTGTCGCCACTGCTGCTGCCACTCTTGCCGCGCCTGCCGCTCTTCCCGCGTGGGACCCAGTCGCCCAACTTGAGCATATGGTTCAGGATCGGCAGGCTGCTGGTGAACAGAGTTGAATCGCCAGACTTCGGCGTAAGGGTTAGGATCATCATCCGGCGCAAACTGATGCTGTATAGCTTCAGGCGGAGGGGGTTGAACATTTGGCACTGGCTGATGAAGGAAGGGCTCACCTGGCGGGGCATACGCGTTCCACGGAATCTGTCCCGCGCCCCGAACTGCCTGGGCCTGACGGTATGCCGCTAGACCTGCTTGAGCTCCCAAATCGGGATTCTGTACCATGGGATTGGGCGCGGCATTGTTGAACATGAAGTTGTTGTTGGGCTGCTGCATGACTGGCATCTGCGGTGCCCCCTGAGCTTTCGCGTCGAAGCCGCCGGGCGGGTTGACGGCGGCAGGTCGGTTGTACTGGTTGTTGAGGCCCACGAACACCGGTGCGGCCGCTGCGGGTTCCTCCTTGATCATGGGCATTGGAGATAGGGCCGGATAGCCAGGGGCGACGGGGCGGTTGTTAGATGATTGCCCGAGAAGATTGTTTCCCTGTACAGACTGAGGCTGAACCGGTGGCTGGAAGACGTCGAGGAGTAGCGGCTCGTCAGCGACTCCTTGCTGCCATGCTTGCACCCTCTGAACGTCCAGTGCAACGGGGTGACCAGTGCCATCGTCGACCGCACGCCGGGATGCACCCCTTCCAGCATCGCCTTCCGCGTCATCCCCTTCGTCCTCGCGTTCACGCTTGACCCGAGGGGCTTCGTCACCGGGAACACGAGGGGTTGTGAAGAAGTCCCGGGACCACGCGGCCAGAACATCTTCCGACTCCAGGTCATTCCTGACGAGACGATTGTTGATCGTGGCAACCAGCTCTCTCAGATCCGGGCGATCAGAGGGGTTGTGGGCCATGCATCTCTGTACCAGGTCTTTGAGCTCGGGATCAACGTCGTTGAATTGTGCACTCTGCAGGGCGCCTCCGTAGGTGGTGATGTCTCGTCCCCAGGCGTCTCTGTAAGGGACACGAATGGCGGCCTGCTGGAATGAGCAGAGAGTAATGGCGCACCAGATCTGTTCAAGCTCGTTAATCTCAGATAACACGGTAAAATGGAGGTCAGAGTGGTCAACTTACAATGATGCCCACCTGGAAGATATTTGTATGCATCCCGTAGTTGCCAGCAACTGGCGGCTTTGTTCCATCGTCAGCCACGAAGTGGTTGATGCCGTCGTCGTCGATGATGTCATTCACTTGCTCCCACTCGCTGGTAAATTGTTCCTAGACAGTGTATATTAGTAAAAGCGATTGTAACTCATGCAACGTGACGGGTGACTTACGGGTGCGTAGTAAACGGGCTTTCCTCTGCAACGACAGTGCAAGAAAAACTCCTTACTGTTGGTAGAAGAAGAAAAGTTAGCTACGTCAAGCTCATAGCAGTCCTTTAAGGATTAACTTACTTGAAGTGTCCGGGGTCATTCTCGTACTCGCTGAAGAACTCGGTCAATCCGAAGTCGGCAATCTGTAAACTGTTAGTACGACCTTCTTGAAATTGAGTGAAAGGTTATACATGCCTTGAAAGTCGGGAAGTTGCCGTGAAACATGGATCTGTTCGCCAAAAGAACTGCGCAAGTTAGTAACTTGTTCCTTAAAGTCAGAGTTCTCAATAGACTTACCATTTCTGGGGTCAAGATCGAAGTGCACGGTTTCCTGGAGTTCGACTTTTGGGTCATCAGGGAATACCTCGTCAATTGGCTTTTGGTACTCCCAATCTGGGTGCGAAGCTTCGTAATGTTCCCTCAGAGGGAAACCCATACCAACTAGACCGAGGGCGACTATCAAGACAGAATCAGTAACCTTTTCCAAAGGTTATCAGGCAGGATATTTCATAGACTCACGATTTTGGAAGAGCATCCAGATGGCTCTCTGAGGCCAACGCTTTGCGAGACGGCTAGACTTGCTGATCCACAAGCCTAGGTCACCGAGATTGGCGTTCTCGATAATGACAAAGTTGCGAATGGGTTGCTTTGCAAAGTCCTTGAGGGTCCAGTTCTTGTCTTGGATCTCTGGGTCGGGTAACTTGGCCCCGGCTGGGGGAGGGGGGTGGCTATTCTGGTACGCAGTCAGGTCAGCAGCCCTTTTTGCTTGGATTTCTCGAGTGATGTCCGATATCTGCAGGATATGTTGTGCTCCTACGAATTTCTATAACACGTTAGAAAGATACTCAAAAGACTGCATGATCCAGAGCGGGGGAGTACTCACCCAGAGAGCTCTCTCCTCTCGTTTCAGCGCCGACTTGCTGTGGTGACGAGACTTTTCAATCTTGATCACGCAGTCAGTATTGAAGCCCGTTCTGGGGTCTTTGTGTACGATGTGAGCTGCGAATCCGTAGCCCCCTGCTCCCAAAATACGTTTCAGACGGATGTTGTAACCTTTGGGATGCTTTTGACCCCCGTACTTGGCTTGGGCCTCATCCAGATGGGTCGAGTCGAAGTAACGGGGAGCGTACCTCACACTGGGTCCATGGATCCTTGGGTCGGAGGGTCGGGTCGGGAAACCGTAACGATAAGGACGGACGTTGCCGTTCATGTCGTACTGCAGATATTGCTCACCCCTCTCGCCACCCATTCTCGCTGTGATCCTGTTCACCAACTTTATTCTCCTTTGCCTCTCTAGCCACGCTTGAGTCAGAGCCTGCTGCGCGGCCAGGTCAAGGCCGTTATTGTTCATGGCTGCCTGGACCTGGTGATTAGGATTCTGTGACATGCTGATGATACTTGATTGGATATAATTTCGCGATGGTACCTGCCCGTTTGCTTGAATGTTGTGAAATTGGAAGTATGAGTGATGATGCTGATGTGTTTGATGAATATGTCTCTATTTTTCTTTTCTAATTCGAATGCCAGTGGCAGTCAATTGTATATGTATGTGTCTTCCTGCGAAGATTCCTTCATCATTCGTTCAATAGAGGACTGGTACGCAGGCTAGAAACAAAGTAATTCCAGTGGTTGTCTTCGAGAACAATGTGTACCGCATACTTGCGATGGCTTTGAGAGTGCGCCATTCGTCGTAGCAGTCAATGCCTTAACATGTCCTGCCACTTGAAATGAAAGTAATTGAAAGCTCTTGGTTAATTGTGTCTTCGCTGGCGTAAAAGCGTTTCAGTAGCAGAACAAACGAGACCGCTTTGTCAGTCTTCTGAAGTCAGCGAACAATTTGAACGCAGGAACTCGATCGAGGCCACGAGACAAAGGCCACTATAAAGGTCCTTGTTTATTCTCGTCACAATATCGACAAAGATTGAGGGGAAACACAGCTGAAGTTGAGAACAAGTAATTGTGAGGCTTACAGTCCGGTCACTTCGGGTGCAAATGCAGTTTTGTCAACAAGGAAGCAGCGGGATGAGGCTCAGATTCATCTCATGGTGGGATCCACCCGGATGAAGTGAGGTGCAGAGAGGGTCTCAGGTCCGGAATGACCCCACGCGCCCACCCACGTGGATACGAGGCGCTCCGGCAAATGGGCCGAGGGTGCACTGAATGAGGTGACGGGATGTGCGACATTCCGCGTGAAGATTCGGATCGAGGCTGGTGCGAAGTAGGTAGGTAGTGAAGTAGTGTTATCTGACTCCAGCCACCGTGCAACCCAGAGATCTGGCATCTGAGTGGCGTCCAAGAAGATGTGTGATTGGTGTGGTTAGCATTGGAGTGGAAGACGGCTTGTACAAGGCGCTGTGTAGTATTCAGTAGCGTTCATTAATCGGAACTCGGGAGCATAGAGACGTTTTCTTTGCCGGGCCCTGCGGGTGAAGGTCTGCTGGTGAAGTTCTGCGGATGGAAGTCCAGCAAGCCGTTGACGATGGAAGAAGAGAAGCCAATTAGCCGTGCCGAACAGCATTCAGGCTAAATGCAAAATAAAACGGGTCTCGGCGAAATCGATTCTCCACAATAGCACCTCGTGTGGGTCCTTGGGGTAAACAGCGATGCTCGTTGAGAAGGTCCAGGCCAGGAACATGCGGATACTTACGCTTGTGATGGAAAGAGAAAACGGGAACCAAGGAGAAGAATAAGCAGCTCCTTTGGTTCAGAATACAGGCACACCTGAGGGGACAGTGACACTTGCGGAAAATCTGTCATAATATGGTATTCCTGAACTAATATGAGTGACAGGGAGGCACAGCGTCAGCTGGCCGCGGTTTCTTAGTAGGTAGTTTTAAAGGGAACCAGTGGCAGGGCTGGAAAGCCGCCCTGGACCAACCCAAAGGAAGGGCTGCCAAAATGACAATTCCCATGCATCTTGGCTTCCATCCCGCGAAACTTTGCAAACTGGGACCCTGACCTTGACAGCTAGCAGCGGGAAGCTTGAACTCCAATTTACCCCAATGGAAGTCTCCTGGGTCGACCGTAGCTCAAGTCCTCACAGGCTGATCTAAACGCACAAATGGGCGCGTGTCATTCTGTAGCAGCGAGCCAGCAACCACCCACCCCCCATCTCCACATGAAGCCCGGCCGGCGTATCCACGCGCGCCTCTCCGTCTGAGGTGCCTCTTCCTGCCCGTAACATTACCCGGCCACTACACTTATGGATATTTCGCATCGTCCAATGTCGACGTGTCACGGGCTCGGAACGACCAGCTAGCTTTCTATCCTCCGGCGGGGACCCCCTGGCTGGTTTGGTTGGTTTTGGGGAAGGCGATCTGTGTGTCACTGTTTATCCTATCGGTCCCTTTTCACCCCGCCAGCCTCATGAGCCCTAGATATCGCCGCAAATATGTATGGTGACGGCACCATGGGGTGTCTGAAAGCATGCAGCCGGCCAGGGATAGGTGGAGGTTATCGACGCGGGCAATGGGAAAGCCAGGAAGTTGTAACTGGTCTACTTACCCTAGGACTCAGCAAGCTTGCCCGAATACTCTACATTGCCTGGCAACCGCGTATCAGAGCATCTGACGTTCGTTGGTACCATGGTTATAAATACGTACATCGTCCCTCTTCCCAACCCTGAGTACTGTCTGAGTTTTCCTTCTCTCCCTCTCCTCTTCTCTCTCTCAAGTTTTGCCACGCTTCGTTGATCTTTGATCCCCTCGAACCTACTTCCCAGAACAACGACAGCTACCATTCATCATGGCCGTCCCCAACATCAAGCTGAACAGCGGCTTTGACATGCCCCAAGTGGGCTTCGGTCTGTGGAAGGTTGACAACGACATTGCCGCCGACACCGTCTACGAGGCCATCAAGGCCGGATACCGTCTGTTTGACGGCGCCTGCGGTAAGTGAACAGCCCACGAGCACGAGCATACACTGTCAATGGTGTGGTGAAGGCGAGAGCAAGAGGGAGAATTCTGCTGCGCAACCAAACCAGATTCAGTGACAGGCGGCAACTGCGTGGCAACCAGGAAGCAATTGGACAGGTTTCTCTTGCTAAAAAACGCGGTGCGCGCTGCCATTGATGCTGGTGTTGGTGGTCTGCTGCGTTTCTCCCCCCTCCATAATTTCTTCCTGAGAAGCCAACTACCCCTCCTCAACCCCACCATGGATGATCGGTGCGAATTTCTGCAGAACACCGATGGGGATTTTCCCCATGCGCTACAATTTCACCCGGAAAGCTCTCCGCAGCCACCCCTGCACTTCACCCGGGATTCGCACCCCTCCCCCCCGACCTGCCCTGTCACTCTTCATTCCCCTCACTATCCTCACCAATGCCATCCACTTACACTCGGGGCTATGCTCCCACATTCCCCGAATCCATCACACATGGACAACTCAAATCATACACACTTTGATTCGCCATGACGTTCAAATGTGCTATGGGGATAACATGTAACTAACGTTGGCAATTGTACAGATTACGGCAATGAAGTTGAGTGTGGCCAGGGTGTTGCCCGCGCTATCAAGGAGGGTCTCGTCAAGCGTGAGGAGCTCTTCATCGTCTCCAAGCTCTGGAACACCTTCCACGATGGCGAGCGCGTAGAGCCCATCGTCAAGAAGCAGCTCGCCGACTGGGGCGTCGACTACTTCGACCTCTACCTCATTCACTTCCCCGTCGCCCTCGAGTACGTCGACCCCTCCGTCAGATACCCTCCCGGCTGGCACTACGATGGCAAGTCCGAGATCCGCCCCTCCAAGGCCTCCATCCAGGAGACCTGGACTGCCATGGAGAGCCTCGTTGAGAACAAGCTCTCCAAGAGCATTGGTGTCTCCAACTTCCAGGGCCAGCTCCTCTACGACCTCCTCCGCTACGCCAAGATCCCTCCTGCTACCCTGCAGATCGAGCACCACCCCTACCTGGTCCAGCCTGACCTGATCAAGCTGGCTGCCAATGAGGGTATCGCCGTCACCGCCTACTCTTCCTTCGGCCCTGCCTCCTTCAAGGAGTTCAACATGGAGCACGCTACCGACTTTGTCCCTCTCTTCGAGGAGCCCACCGTCACGGCCATTGCCAAGAAGCACAACAAGGAGCCTTCCCAGGTCCTTCTCCGCTGGGCTACCCAGCGTGGTCTTGCTGTCATCCCCAAGACCAGCCGCAAGCACGTCCTTGCCCAGAACCTGTCTGTCACCGACTTCGACCTCGAGCAGTCTGAGATCGACAAGATCAGCTCCCTTGACAGGAAGACTCGCTTCAACCAGCCCGCAAACGTGAGTTTACCCTCATCTATTGACCGTCTCGTTATGATTGTCAGCTAACAAAACATTACAGTACTTCCCTACTGAGAAGCTTTGGATCTTTGGTTAAATGGATTGAGTTTCACATTCCATGCATCTTGCTTGATTTATCGCACTTCATAACTACCCATACCACTCCCCAGAGAGCGGCCTTTTGGTAGTTTGCAACTGGCGGTGTGCGTGGGAGATCTGTCCAACACGTGTCAAACCACGTACGACGTACGTCGATTGTATCTCGATACCCTCTCTCCCGGCAAGACGATGATCTGCCGCTAAAATACAACGAAAGCCATGACCAAGCCAGGATGAAAATCCCGCTCGCCCGTGACATGCAGCGTTTACACGCCCAAAGTCAGAGAAAGCCGCCCGCCCATTGAAGATTGCGTCACACCTGTCAACATGCACTCATGCTCGCCAAACAGCGTAGCTGAGTGTGTGTGGATGTGCGTGTGTGCCGAGAAATATCTCGTGTGGTGAAGAAGGGCCCTTATATGTCCCATTGATGTCTGCCCTCGCACCCAGATCTTCTAATCAAACGCCTTTGTAACGCCACGCCAGCCTCGTAAGTCTCATGCTAGAACGCTGTGCCTGAAAATCATGATGTTTTGACAAAGGCTGGACGATTTGTCAGCAAGTAATTTTTCACAGTAATGGGGGTTTTGACTAATGTACTCACTTGCGTCGATCTGGGATAGTTGGGGCAACGCTAGACGGACTTTGTTGCGATACACCGCAGGCCCTCTAAGCTGTAGCGGGTTGCCCTCAAAGTAGACCGTCGTGAGGCGTTCCTTGTCCTTGAGCTCTTTCTCGACCTCGTTGAAATCGCCAATCTGGTTGTAGCTGGCCCAGAGCTCCTCGAGGTTCTTGAGAGGCGCAAGGCCCTTCACGCTTGCAACAGCATTGTTGGAGATGTCGAGCACGCGCAGCTTCTCGTTCTTTTCGATACCGGCGAGGGAGGTGAGAGCGTTGTGGGAGATGTAGAGCTCCTCAAGGCCGGGCACCTCGGCCAAGGGCGCCAGGTCGCGAATGCGGTTGGACTGGATGCTGAGGAGGCGGAGGTTGGAGAGGCCGCCGAGCCCCGTGAGTTCGGTGATCTTGTTCTTGGCGACCCAGAGCTCCTCGAGCTTCTTCAGGGAGTCGAGGTTCTGAAGGACGCGGATGCGGTTGGAGCCAAGCTCGAGCGAGGTGAGGTCATCGAGCCCTTCGAGGTTCTCGATTGTTGAGATCTTGTTTGCGACGAGGAAGAGCTCCTTGAGCTTGGTCAGGTGGTTTACGCGCTTGATGTGCTTGATCTTGTTGAAGCTGAGGTCGAGGGAGGTGAGATTGACGAGGTCGTCGAGGCCGCGGATGTGAGAGATGAGGTTGTCGTAGAAGTCGAGGTCCTCGAGGGTGGGCGCGAGGGCGGCGAGGCCGTCGATGGACTGGATCGAGTTCTGGCGGAGGCAGAGGCGGACTACCTTTTGGAAGCGTTCGAGACGGAGGGCGGGGATGGAAGAGACGCGGGCGTGGGAGACGATGAGTTCGTCTGTTTCTGGGTCTTCGCCGTCGAGGAGATCTGTAGGCGGGGTGGGTGTGTTAGTTTTCCATGCACCACGTCTCGCCTCGCACTTGTAGCCCAGCGCAGGACGAGTGCGACAGGTCAGAAAGACTTGCCTTCGTCAGCGGGTAGTTCTTCGCCCGGAAGGACGTTCTCGTCGTCGGATTCCGGGTCGGAGAGGACCTCTGGGTTGGCGAGGACGGCGGTGCGCTGGACTCTGAGCTTGCCGTCCCATCCTTTGCTGTTCCTGAGGCCTGGGCTGGTCTGGCCGTCTGTCCGCGGAGAGGCGTTGGCGTCTTCTTCCGGGAGCTCGATGCGCGGGGAGTGCCTCGGCGACGAGGGTTCTGTCGGGGTGGTGGGATCTACAGGGCCGGGCATGGTGGGCGGGATTCGATATGGGATCGGGGCTGTCGCGGTGGTTGCTGTAACAAGATAAGGTTTCTTGGCTCGGTCGTGGCTCCGAGTGATGTTGGAGATTCCAAAAGTGGCGGGGTGAGAATGAGCAAACGAGGAAGAAAAGGCGGATGTTGAAGTCGGCGGTGAATTCTCGGCGGGGCGGGGTGGGAAGATCTGATCAAGAAAGTGGGATGGTTTGGAGGACCTGTAGGAAGGAAATGGGCACCAGGACGGAAATAGAGGGGTTGTTTACTGATGGACCGATAGGTAATCAAGATCCAGTGTTGCACATGCCAAGGTATAAGGTAGTATGGTATGGGGAGGAAGGTATGTGCGATTTCGCGGCGTAAATCAAGGCAATGTCTAATTTCGAGGGCGGCGGATTCTTTATTTATTAGTTACGCCCGCTTGCTCTCACACTCACACTCACACTCACACCGCACATGTGGATGAGGTGCCTTCCCCGACTGCCTGGTGCCCGTATTGGTACCGGTTCTGGGCGGGGGAGGGGAACAGCACAGCACATGCCCTGCCCCTGGAGGTTTGGGAACACCTGCAATGAGGTAAGCTCTCTGAAGTTGAGAAGTGACGAGATGGCTGGGCCTGTCGTCTACCTTACTTTGCAAGTACACTACGTAAGGTACCTCACGGTTCATCCCCTCTCCTGCCTTTTCCATCCGTCCTGCTGCTGGATACCTGACCTTCTTTCACGAGCGTAGGATTGGCGGGCTGGTTCCAGCAATCCATCGAGGGCCGTTTGGCGCTAGAGTATGACGTCCCAATGTTGCTAGAAAGTACCTGAGCCGAGTAGCAGTGAAGGCGGGGGCACTGGGTCTGCCACTGTAGGTAATGTACCCCGTACCGAGCTGAATGGACCGAGAGGGTGAGAATCACGCCGTGGAATGAGGAAATGATGATGCTCTTGAAGCGAACGGATAGTGAAGCAGCAGATAGAGCAGCTTAATGACTGTCTTACCAGAAAGCCATTGTTGTAGGCTGTTTGGCTGTCAAGCTGAGATTTGTCTGGCCTGCCCGTGTCACAGAGCATCGGCCTTGTCTCAGACCCAGCACATGTCTCTACCACATCTTCCATTTCCATCTGCACACCAGATTGTGTCAATGGCGGAAACCCGCCCATTGTCCATTCCTCTTCAAGTGCCCATGTTACAATACACTTAGGGACAAGAATCACCGTTGCAATTGATGGACGAATGCAGACCACGACCATTGGGCTGGAATCCTTGGACCCCGTCCTGCAATCGTGGTGCTTATTTAACAAGTCCGCCTTCGTTTGCCGCCAACGCCGAATTCGAACGTTGCCTCCGAAGCTCTCTGGACGGAATAGGACCGCCTGCATGCCGGCCATATTGAACCCAGTCGCGTTCGAACACGACTACATGCGCACCTTGTCATGACCCGTCACTCTATACAGTAGTCCGCGATACATACCTACTACCAACCAAAGTTCTCCATCTTCGATTTTTGCGCAAGCAGCAGCAGCAGCCGCCAGGAACCGCCCCTCTTTTTCAGGGTACCTAACGCTTCTGATTGAGGTAATCCGCATCTCAGGGTCTTGTTCCGTAACCTTCAACCCAACACCTCATCATCCACCCGCGCCCGATACGCGCCTCCATGTCTCGCGAGCAACCGTGATGCATGCTACCCGCGCATCATCGATTGGGCAGCTTCTACATCGTCCTCGCCGTCTGCAAGCACTTCCCGTCACGCCACCATGGCGAGCCACGTCTCAGCGGCAGTCGATGCCGAAACTGCTTGTGACGCCGCATATCGGCCTCACTCACAAGCGGCACTTCAGAGCTGAGGCGCTCTATCTACCACCGCTCGTCTTCACCGGCCTTCTGCTCACTCTGTGGACGCAAAAGTGTCTCGCAATGATCATCTTCCAGAACAAGATCATTTACATGCCAGGCCTGCCACCCAATGCACGCAGGGAGCGCATCCAAGACTACGCGAAGCAGTGCTGGGGCGTACAGTGGGAGGAGAAGAGGATCCGCGCCGCCGATGGGACGGATCTAGCCCTCTGCGTGGCCTCGGCGACATCGACTGGTAGGAGCAAGACCACGTCGCTCGACGATACTCTATCGGTGCCGTCCATCTACATCCTCTACTTTCAGGGTCCGCCTCGTCCCCGTTCCCATACCCTGGCTGGCGCATAGCTTTTCCCCTTGCGCCTCTCCAAACGATCAAAGGCTCATGCATTGGGGAAAAATAGGAAACGCCTCGTCCATTCCCCCACGGTTGCCCGACCTATCGTGGGTCCTACAGTCATTGCAGCAGAGCAAACGGCCTGCGCGATACACATTTGTGTGTTTAAGCTACCGTGGGTACTGGACGTCGAGGGGTCGTCCCTCCGAGAAGGGCATCAACCTGGATGCGCGGGCGGCTCTGCACTGGATTGGGCGGGTGCACAGCGAGCACGCCGTCAATGGGCACCAGCCCACGCCGGAGGTAATACTCTGGGGTCAGAGCATCGGCGCTGGGGTCGCCACGAACCTCGCCGCGTGGGAGGCGTTCCCGCCCACGTTGCGGCTACGGTCGCTCATCCTCGAGACACCTTTCACGTCCGTCAAGGACATGCTAGCGACGCTGTATCCCCAGAAATGGGTGCCGTACCGTCATCTATGGCCGTTTCTCCGAAATCACCTGGACAGCTGGACGAACCTAGCCACGATCGCCGGGAACTGGTCCGGGTCGAGGATCTGTGAGAGGCCTCGCATTACGATAGTGGAAGCTGGCAGAGACGAGCTAGTGCCGGCCGAGCACGGCGCGAAGCTGGTCCGGCGCTGCGAGGAGGTCGGGCTCGAGGTAGAGAAGAAGACGGTGCAGGGCGCCTTCCACAACGATGCCGTCATCAGGCTAGAGGGACGCAGAGCCGTCGTCGACTGCATTGAGCAGGTTGCTGCTAAAATCTGATGGACACTTGCAATGACATCAAGTGAGGTCTGTCAACGGATAGCTAAGCAGTGGGTTCGCACGAAGCTGTCACGGTGACACTTCGAGCTGTAAATGTTGGTCATCCTGAAATGGGCAAACTTGATTGGCGAATTGAATGAGTACATGGCACTGACGAGGGAGCCCTCGGCGTTCGAGTTCGGTTTGGATGTCGGACTGGGAAGCTAGGAACCGCTCCCCGAGCCCCGGCAAACCGGTGCAAGGTTTATTAGAGAGACGAGCGATGGTCAGGGGTTAAATTGCCTTGTTTCTCTCTACAGGAAACCGAGCCTGGTCCATGGTACCATGACTTGCAGTCCAACACCATTTACGCCATCCCGGAAGCCTCTCTCTGAGCATCGGGCTTTCGAGATAGAACAGGACAATTCGTGAGATGTCTATGGGCTCAATTCGTCTCCAAATTGATGTTTCGTATCATCAGAGGATTCCTTTGACCCCTCAACTATTCCTGGAACTTGACTGAGAGTATTCGCCCCTTGTGCAACGGCAATGAAGCCAGATGGAGTGTCTGCCCCTAACATTTCTTATTCTGGCCAAGTGATGGGTACAGAAGCTTGGACGCGGCCATGCCGCCTCAACGTGGATCATCTCAGGCTGTTTCCCACTGTTCCAGGCACCTAGGCAGCTTTCGTGTGAATTGTGAACCGTCGGCGCACCACAGATGTGTGCTCGGCAGCCCGCAAACTCCCGGGCAGAGGTACTCTTTGGGCCATTGAGTCACCGCGGAGTGACCTGCCGACGGGAGCGAGGGAATCATCCAGCCCCCCTGACTTGAGCACAGTGGCACCGAACCAAATGCACCAAAGCCAACGCAAGCTTGCACACACTCTCTCCTTTTTTTTTGGGACTCGGCTGCTTGTTAAGTTGTTCCCCCTGCGGATGGCTTGGACATGGCGCGGTTTTAGAACCGGGTTCGGCCTGGTACCCAGTGCCTGCCAGTGTTCGCCGGCTTTCCCAACAGTGCCACCAGAGGCAGCCAAGCAAAACCCCGGCGCACCACCCACTTTCCTATCAGCGAAGTACCCTGCTGGCGTGCACGTGATATCGCATCCGATGCGTGTGTCCCTCAGACCCACCGACGCGTTCCCCTTGATCCCCCAGACGCGTCCAATGAGGACGTTCTCACCACTTTTTTTTTTAATCAGTCCGCCCCCCTCTCACCCAGGCACAGAGTCTCGGTGCCATCCTTTTCAAAAGCAGCCGGTGCAAGGCAATCACTGCAACGTACTTCAGGTAGGGGAGGGATCTCGGGGGACCGTGCCAGGGAATCAGGCTGTATATATTAGAATCCCATCGCCCATCCCCCATGAGTTTCTCTCGAGTTCTCTCTCTCTTCTGTATTCACGCATCTCGGAAACGGCGCCTTAGGTAGGTCAAACACAATTTCCCATGAGAATCAATCTTTCCGTCCATCCCATAGTCATCGATAATCAATTATTCCATCCATCACCTACTTTTTCCATCACTTGAAATTTCCCTCCGACGACGTTCCTTAGGCACCCGAGGTGTGATATCTTCTGTCCGAATTCCGTTTTCTTTTACTCCGCAAACCGATCCCATTCATTCCAGGAATCGTCAGCCACAATGTTCAGCAGACGCTACGAACCATCACAGAGTGTGAACAAGAGTTTCTCAAAGAGCCACAAGGCATCTAAATCTAGCTCATCATTCAGCAAATCCAGCGGCGTTTCGAAACATCGCCATGAATCCCGCCACAGCCGAAGACCAACAACCGCCACTACGACCACGAGCACTGCTACCGAGGATACTTCCATGAGCAAGTGAGTCTTCAACACATTTACTCTGCATTCTCCATCGAAACCCATGCATGTCGCTTCAAGAGAAACGTGAATCAGACACTAACAGAACCCTCCTCAAAAATAGCAACCTCACCTCCGCAATCGTAACTCTCGTCGTCGGCACAGAACAGCGCCTCTTCGCCGCCCACGAAGACGTCCTTTGCGCATCGCCCTTTTTCCAAAACGCCCTCCGCGCCAACCTTTACGGCAGCCCCGCCGACGTCGTCGGCTCCCCGGCCTCCGTAGCCTCCTCCTCGGCCGCCCCGACCAAGCGCATCGCCCTCCCCGACGAGGAGCCCGAGATCTTCTCGTCCGTGCTGGAGTACCTCTACAAGGGCGACTACTACCCGCGCTTGGTGCACAACAAGCGCCGTAACTCGTGGGAGATTGAGGCCCTCAGCAGCAACGGAGAAAACGGCCGCGGCGGCGTCGAGTCGACCGTATACCACCACGGTGTCGACGGCGATTTGCTCAAGGACACTGTGATTTACTGCGCTGCGGAGAAGTACGGTCTCGAGGAGCTCAAGAGGGTTTCGCTGAGGAAGCAGGGTCTTCGTAAGTTCTCTTCTCAGTAATGTTCTACCCCCATTATTATGCAACACTCTGCTAACAGATGGCCTTTTAGAATCCGGCATCCAGTGCAGCACCATCCTGGCGTCGGCCCGATACGCCTATGCCAACACGCCTGATAGTGACTCGAAGCTGCGGGCGCACTACCTCGCCCTCATCATCCGCAGCCGAAGCACCTTCAAGCGGAGCGGCACGATGCAGCTGGAGATGTATAACGGCGGCACCCCGCTCTTCTTTGACCTCTTTGTCGCGCTCTGCAACCACGTCGACGACATCTCGACCGTGTAAGTAGGCCCTCGCAAGTGAAGTGACAAATCACGAATCCGTTGCTGATCGATGTTTAGGAACTCTCCTCGCACACCTCGTGGCGGCCGTTTCTAAGGGCCACAACTTCACCCTTTTCCCATTTCCTACACCTCGAACCTTCTCATCTCAGCCAAGGACGAATGAATACCCGGCTCATCATAACTAATGACTTTACGTTCTCACGCAATCTTGCCTTCCATTTTTTTCTCATCTACTTCTCACTTTCTTTCACCACTGATTATCGCTGAAACGGGCGAATTTTAGCCTGCTGGACTCGCAAAACCCGCAAAATACCATAAACATCAGGGCGTTTGAAAATCCATTCCACTGAATCGGGATGGTTATGGCGTTTGGGGACAACATTTTGTATTATTTCTGCAAATTCGCCTGGCATCTCTTGCTTGCCTTCTTGACTTAACTTCTCACGAGAAACCCTTGTACATTTGTTTTCTTACTTTTGGCGAGACGATAACTCCATGAGAGTGGGAAAATCTCGAGAGGCGGTTTCTTTTCAGGCAGGAAAACTTGTCTCTTGTTCGTCTTCCGTGTAGAGGCGATTGAGAAATACGAGACCCGGATGCTCTGGGTGTAGCAGAGCGAAAAGAACGAGATGAGAGACGAAAGAAATCTGGACAGATTGCGTCTTCTGCAAAAGAGATCGAAATCATTACCTGTAAAATTATCATTCTTGACACTCGCTTTCTAGTTTGAAAAATCTACAGGAGTTGATGCTGTGACTGTGAGTCTTTTCCTAACAGAAATGAAGATATCCCGTCGTTGCGATATTCACAAAATCCAACGAGTGATTTGATGGCCCTCTTCTGATATCTCCAGCTTCCTCCTCTCTGTGATCTGAAACATAGCCAACACAACCTACCGAAGTTTCTGACCATGAGCAAAAGTCCTATGTGAATACTCGTGAATGCCCAAGGCACCCGAATTCACAGACCCCGATCCAGGCAAAACTATCCCTGCCTATCTCAACTACATCCATCGCCCCCCGGTAGAGCGTTCCGGTTCCTGGTCCGCCCGCCGCGGCGACCAGGCTCGCCTAGCGTAGCGGCCGTGTTTTCGGATACTCTGCCCCTCTTCGAGCTGTGAGTCATATTGGTAGTGTCACCGAGGCTGACTCTTAGCAACACTATCACCGATTCACGTACGACACAACAGCCCAACCCAACCCCACCCCTCTCCGACTCCGAGAACACAACACACATACTTTCAGACCCCGGCGTTTTCTCTTTGCTTCTCCTGAATACCTTATCACGCTACTGATGCAAGCACTTAAACTAAAGTCAACCACCAGAGACCCTCTCTTCACTTACTTGGGTAGGCTGCTCGTACTGATGGGTGTGTTTGTGAGACGTTAGTCATTGTTCCGCCTCTACTGCCCCATGTCGTGCTTGAGTCGCCATATGAGGGGACTTTTTTCCAAAGGGAGGACTGGAGGTGGAGATGGATGTGCCAGTGGTGTGCGTGGAGTTGCATTCCGGAATGCGGTACGGGAGATGCTGCATTTTGTGAGTTGTTTTCTACATGTCGAGTGATGTTCTCTGACTGCTGTTGCGTGGCCGCATGCAAATGGTGTGATTTCAATTTTGCGAATACTTCTATCCGCCATGCGTGATAGAATACTGGTGAATTACAAGCCCGACGTGTGTCACACGTACATAAGGCAAGTATGAGACAAATAGATAGCCGGTGAAATTGGAAAACCTTTGCATATGCATTACACAGTGAATGTTGTTTCCCAAGTGAGAAAGATGGAATTTCCTCTATTTCATTAGTTAAAGGCCAGTCTCATAGTACCTTACTTAGATATCATCTTTAAACGGTCACGAGGCCAAGCGTGCTTGCCTGAGGTGGGAAGCCGCAAGTCCATCCCTATCGCACCTGCCTACCTTACCTTCCCAGTCCCAAACCTTCATCTGATAACTTCTCGTTCCCATCCATCCGGGTCTAGAGTGGAATACGCACAGGAAAGAAGCCCATATAGACCCCCTCAACTCCATTCTCGTCACCAGCACAGCAGGCGCCCCCCTAGGTCGGGGGGTCAGGTCAAACTGTGGCGTGGGTGGTGGAATGGTTTAATGGTCACCAGCTTCTTCACGCCAACCAGCCTACTCGACGACAGGCTCAGCGCATACGAGTTACCCGAGTTCGAATCCCGGAATGAGTACCATAAAAATTTCCCAGCACGAGCACCGAGAGATTTAGCCCCCAGTTCAGCACCCGGGGAACTCTTTTGTTATTTTGGATCTTTTGATATGCACATGTAATTGGGCATTGCAATAATAGAAGCAATCTGCTGAGTATCAATGTATTGACTTGCATCTACTGATTAATCCCAACAAACGGCGTCGAAATAGACTTTGCTTTTTTAATTGCCCGGTATCACTAAGATACTCATGCATCCATCTTCCTCGCACCAATGCATGCTGCTAGGTCTCCTTACACCTTATACGAGGCCGTTAAGGCCAGCGACGCCGTGTCGCCGATGCCGATTGGGTCAGATATCTTCTCGCTGCTTTTATGCGCACGATAGTGTGGTACCAAGACTGTATTATCTCAAGTCATCTTTGGGCCGGTCTAAAGTCTCATGAGGTCGGAGTCCCCACCCCACCATCCCCGTCTAAACCCCTGTTCCGGGGAACGCCCCGTTCTTGGAGAGGACGACGATGCCGCGCTCGCGGGCGATGTAGCCCTTCATGAGATTCTGCAGATAATTGAACGATTAGTCATGTACTTGTGAATGAGGGGTTACGGTGGAATTTTGCCAGAGTAGCGAGCTTTTGTGGCAGTCACCACGACACCGGATTCCCTTGAGCACGCAAGGTCGGTCCCGTGATGATGTTGCCTACAAGGCAGCCCCAGACGCACGACAAAACAAAAGCCGCCACGTACCTTGTAAATCATGTTTGCCAACAGGCACTCAACCTCGTCCGGGTCAACAGTCTCCTGGCTACCAAGGCTGATAGCAGCTGTGAACTCGGCGACTGGAACTCTGGTCCGACGAACGGGAGCAGTACCGGCTTCCTTCGCCTCTTCGAAGCCACCGGCGACGAAGACTTTGCGTAATAGGTTGCGCAGGGCAATGTCGCGACCGCGCTCCAACGTAAGGTAGATTCTGCGGCGGACGAACTCCTCTTCGCCTTCTTGTAGAGCTAGGTCAAAGTTGCGCAAGTCGCCTTTGCGGATGCACTGCGACAGTGGGAGAAAGAGTTTTTGCAGCCGCGGGTAGGGCTCAAGGAGTTTGCTGCTGGGCAGGGTATGTGTGGTGAGAAGATGGCATGGGATTAGGTAGGTGAGGATTCTCCTGTGATGGTTGTTAGTGGTTGGGGATGATGATTTGGAGTGTGTCGAGAGTACTTACTCTTGGTTGCTCTTCGCATCCTTGTGACACAGGGACCATGCCTCTGTGAGGTGCTTTTCGGCCTGGATTTCGTTAGATCCGTAATTGAGAACTGGATTTCTCTCGGCAATCGTACCTCAACATAGTTCTCCTCCAAGAAGAAAAGCACGCCCTCGTAATACTTGAATGTCACCCGCTGTGACTTAGGGAATGCTTCCAGGGGCGGCATGTCTCCACGGTTCGTGGACAACGCCTTCAGGATTGTCCGACTCAGACTGGCCGAGTTGAGTTTGAAGTAGGTCTTGAAGAGCAAGTTGATGATGTAGTAGATAGCCCACTTTCTCGATTCTTCGAGAGGTGCTCTGTACACAGTTAGGACTAGCCAAGAGCATTTGGGTTTGTCGACATACCTATCGCTCAAACACAGGGTGAAGATACGCTTGAGCTGCTGCTCGCAGTCGCGCAGCTGCTTTTGCTTCTCCAGATCCGGGTCGTAGTCGTCAGCAAGCTCCATTGCATCAGCAGTGGCATCGGTGGTGCTCCGCTCCTCGTCTGAGCTGATGGCGAAGAGTCGCAAATGCTTGCCAGCAAGGTAAAGGCACGGAATTGTCCAGGCCTCGAAGCCATAATTAGTGTAGCCTCGGATGAGAGCGGTGGTGAATTCCTTCCAAGACTCATATACCTTGGTCCATGATGAAGACTGTTGTTGGTGTTAGTGGTGAAACTGAAGAGAGGGAATGGAAGGCGTATTGCGCTAGAGCTCACCCTACCTCCAGCAGCGGAGTCGCCCTCTACTTTGAGGATCTCGCCAATGGCTTTCCAGTACGCTGTGTAGACTTCTACCCAGCCCGTAGTCTCCTCATGGTCGAGCTTGAATTTCTTAGATCCCGAGCCCCGACCGAGGAGCATGTACTTGATGTCGCTCTTGGCTTCTTGGACGTTAGTGCTCAGATAGATGGACCGTAGCTTGTCCGGCTTGTTGACTGGACTGAATGGCTGAAGTGTCTGCGCAAGAGAGTACCCAGACCGAGTCTTGTAGGCATTGCGAAACTCCTCAAACAGAGGCTCCATTCTGTCTATTTGAGCCCTTGTCGATGTTGAAGGGTGGGTGAGTGAGTTAAGTGGTGGAAGAGCCGAAGGGCTGAAAAGCGAAGGCTCTAAAGACTGTTGCTGGAAATTGACGCAAATCCGGCCAGAAAAGGCCTGCTAAAATGGATTCAGAAGGCAATCTGCCTGCCAGAGTTCTGATGAAAGCGATCCCCGTCTAACATCAGCCAGCAAATGTAGTTGCCTTTGTAACGCTGTTGCTCAACGGTGGACGGTCTGCGCTGTGATTGGTTGGAACCTAGTGACTCTGGGATTCACCAAAGACAGCTCCTCCCTCTGACCTTTCTGGTGGACACCGACTTTTTTGCGCCCGACATTCAAGGCAGAAATGCATTGACAGACCTTCTCGAAAAACTGGGCGATTTGAGGTGGATCCCCACCAGCCGCAACAGGGTGGGGTCCGGTCGCTTAGGAAAGTGTGGCGCTGACACATAGGGTTCTCGCCCTTTTTTGCATTTACCCAACTTTTTTGTTTTCCCATTCGGCTTCAGACCCAGCAGCAACCACCACGATATCGGATAATCGACGACCATCGGCCAGCTCTTCAAAGTAAGTCACCAATTACTCAAGTTCGCGGGGGATCTTCAGTTTCTAACAAATTATTCAAGATGGGTAAGCACAATTCCTCTCTCCTCGCTTGGATCTGGATCTTGGATGCGAATGCTTGCTGCGAATTTTTCGAACCCCGACCGCGACGAACAAACTTTTTCAAGGCTACTTGAGACATCACGAAGATGTCGCAGTATGGCACGACAGCAATAGCACGCCTGCTTCATGGATTACCAACACCGACTGCCATCAACTCGCATATCAAGCGAGACTACAGCATACTACCAAACGACGAATGGGTCGGGGCTTGGCTTGGGAGGAACAGGAAAGAGGGGAATGAGCGCAAGACCTGGCATGACCTCACGACACAACGCGATTTTGCCCACCCGTCCGAACCCGACCGACCGGAAAATTCGCAGCAGCTCGAAATGACACAGCTATTCGCACCCTTGAATCCAGAGATTGTGTGGCCCCAGGACGACGCATAACTGATTACTTTGCTATAGGTCGTCTTTCGGAATACGAGGTCATTGGGCGCCACTTGCCCACCGAGTCCAACCCGACTCCCGCGTTGTACCGCATGACCATCTTCGCTCCCAATGTCACGGTTGCGAAGTCCCGTTACTGGTACTTCTTGCGTGGCCTGAAGAAGGTCAAGAAGGCCACCGGTGAGATCGTCAGCGTCAAGGAGGTACGTCACCGAAAACTCGATTTTCCCAGAGCACTACAGGCAGAGACTAACTCTGTACGCTACAGATCCAGGAGAAGCACCCCCTCAAGGTCAAGAACTTCGGTGTCTGGCTCCGCTACGACTCCCGCTCCGGCACCCACAACATGTACAAGGAGTACCGCGAGATGTCCCGCACCGACGCCGTCGAGGCTCTCTACTCCGACATGGCCGCCCGCCACCGTGCCCGCTTCAGGTCCATCCACGTATGTGCCCTCACGTCGAATACCTCGCCCGGAAAGCCGAAACCCCTACTAACAAGTTCTCCAACAGATCCTCAAGGTCGTCGAGCTCGAGAAGGGCGACGATGTCAAGCGCCCTTACATCAAGCAGCTCATCACCAAGGGCCTCAGCTTCCCCCTCCCCCACCGCGTCTCCAAGCTCAACAACCAGAAGATCTTCAGCGCGAAGCGTCCCACCACCTTCGCATAAAGTGTTGGCTGTTGTGCGGCGTTGTTTCTCTGGTTTTCGACAAATGGAGGGGCGGGCTACTACTACTTGGCAGGTGTTCACTAGGTCTATGGAACTATCACGTGCATTTGCTCTCTGAAGGCGGGGGCCACCAAAAGAAATGAAATCAATTCAAAACATCATCTTTTCGCGAGCATGGCCAAAAAAGCAGCAGGGGAGGAAGGGGAATCCTTACTCAAACCGCCCTTTTGATAGATGGACGAATGATACCTGAGTACGAAGCTGTGAATTACGACTTCTTGATGAGACGATGCGGTTTACCTTAGATCTGCTCGGCCAGAAGAGGGATGTCAAGACGTCCGGCTTCGTCTACGTAGACAAATGCCAACTCACCCTGCGTCGGTTGTCAAAGTTTTTCTCGTTGCCAGTGATGTGATGCCTGCATGTCTTCAATTGTACGCAATGTAGAGTGCTCTCGCTTGGCATCTGCCTTTTCCTCTCCCAGCTGCTCCCAAATGTGAGAGCACATGCCACCCACCTGGGCATGACGTAACCTCTGTAATTTCGTGGTGATTAGTTGTTCACGTTCTGGTGTCCAGTGACATATCACTCTCATGATATGAAGGCCCGGCAACAAGCCCCGTTCACTTGCATCATATGCTTACTTCGAAGTCGACATACCTTACCTTAAAACTCTGCCCACTTGACTGGAACAGCAGTCATCAAGCTGTCGGGAATTGTTCACTCATTTAATCAAGCTCTATTACAATGAATTTCATTTGAGAGTCTAGATTTCTCTTCCATTCTCCAGTATTGATGGGCGTGATTCGTCATCCCTATCGTACAGCATCACCATTTCATTTCTTCCTTTCCTTTTTCCATGTTATACACCACACCTACGCGACAGTTCATTTAGGTATCCCATGCGCCTCCTCTCCCTCTTGTGGTTTCCTTAGTCACTCAAATTGAAATCACCCGTCATCCCCAGGCGACCTCTCCATATTCGCATCAACGACAAACTCGTCCCACGAACTCGGGTCCCACCCAAAGTCTCCAGCATCCATCTGGATCCCGAAATGCGCAATCAGGTCCTGCGGGTTACTAAAGAGCGGCGTGCCCCCAAACATGGCCATGTCCTCAGGCGTCAGCCCGAACGGCGGGTTCATGGGTGCAGACGTTGAAGGAGGCAGAGATGACGCGGGCATCCCGGCCGCCGCCGTCATCGACGGATCGACCGCCATCGGCGTGGGACCACCCAGACCAACTGTGTTTGTCGTCGCGAAAGGCATACTCGTGGGAGGCAGCGTAGAGCCGCCTCCGTGCCAAGAAACAGCGGCAGAGGCGTTGGCGGTGTTACCGCCGATACGGTCTGTTCTGAAAGCCGGGTGTAAAGTCCCCATACTCACACCGTGGCCTCCCACCGCCGGCGCCGCAGTAGGAGATGGCTCTTGAACACCCGTGACATCCACGTCTCCATCGCCATCATCGTCACCATCCTCATCGTCATCATCTTCCTCCTCCTCTTCCTCATTCTGCGGCACCTCCACCGTCCTCCTCGCAGCCCCCTGCTGCTCCGTCGCCGCCCCCGCCGCAGCACTCACAGGCGCCCCCCTCCCACCATCACCCAACTTCAACGCCCCCATCATAGCCTCCGCCCTCGCAGCCCTCGCCCTCCTCAAAAGCTTCTTCAGCGGCCTCCAGAGCGTGCCCCGCCTGGTATCCGCGATCCGCTCCCTCATCCCGTGAAAGTTCCGATCCACCACCCGCCACGCCCGCTCCACCAGCTCCCCGCGCGTCTGCACGCACAGCTCCGCCAGCGCGACGGCGAGCGGGTGCCACTGCACGTAACTGTCGATCCACCACCCGAACCGCTCGCGGTACGTCGCCGAGCTGTACTCGACCAGCTCGATCGTGTTCACCGCCGTGCGGAGCATCGTCTCGCGCGCGACGCGGGGCTTCGCCGTCGCCGTGGAGGCGCGGGGGGTAAAGGGGTACTGCGCCGATAGCCACATTTTGAGGATGATGATGCGTACCGTCACGGCAGCGTGATTGGCGGGTAGGTGTCGGGTATCCTGGTCTTCGTCGTCGCCGCCGCCACCGCCGCTAGAGCCATCGCCGTCCGACGCAGGTGTTTTGGCCGGCGCGGTGCCAAAGAGCGCTTCAAGACGCTGCGCGTGCGCCATGATCTCATCCTCCGACGTCGTCGGCTCCGGCGTGCCGTCGTTGTCGAGCGCGAGCTGCGGGTGCCGCGGCCGCAGGTTGCCAAAGATGCCCGACGACATGCTCGTGCACAGGCAAAACGTCATCTCGGTCGGGCCCGTCCTGTCCTCGAGCGGATCCGTCGTTCCGGGGCCGAAGTCGTCGTCATCGAGGTTGAAGGGCAGGCGGGTGTTGTAGGACTGCCGCGGGATGGCGGCGTCGGTACCGCGGTCCTCGGCGGCGCGGATGTCGAGGACGACAATCATCCACCACAGCCGGCGGCGCATCTCGGCCTCGAAGGGCGGGAGCGGGGGGTTGACGCCGTCGCGGTGAAGGTGGAGGGCCTGGGCGAGGCGGACGACCAGGGGGATGAGGGCCCAGGACGCGCGGCTGGCGTTGTGTGAGCGGAGGAAGCACTGTGAGATGGTTAGATCTTGAACCAGATTTGATATGAACGTGACTGGAGAGACTTACCACATAGTACGTCAGCGCTTGAAGGGTACGAATCTCAGTGCTGTTGAGATAGTCTGCCTTGTGCAGCGCCCTCTCAACGCCCTCCCGGTACCTCTGCGCGAGAACGCTTCTCTCCTCTCCCAAGTTCCTCAGACAAGCCTCGTTTGTCAAGCTCGTAACGGCGCCGTAGTACATGGAAAAGAACAAGGCCTCCGTTGCATCGTCAATGTGCTTATTCACAGCGTTCGCGAACCCTTCCAGCTCGACAGAGACCGTCGGCCGGTGAATGACCTTGAAAGCCGGATCGACGTTGGAGAAGAAGATGCCGCACATGTACATGATGTGATCCCGCGGCGGGTGCCTCAGCGGCTCATCGCCGCCAGTGACGAAGCTCGAAATGAGCCCGGACAGCGCGGGCGGCGTCTGACCCTTATTGGCTGTGGATGACTCGGGGCTCGTCGTACTATGCTGATGCTGCTGGTGGCCCTGCTGCCCCTGACCTCCTGCTTCCTCATCATCGGACCCTTCGCTGTCGGATGGCTGATCCAAGGCCTGTCTCATGCCCTCGACCTCCTGGCACAGATTCTCCCAGAACTCGGCGCTCATGTAGTTGGTCGGCGGGGCGGGCTGAGAGTCCCACCCCGCTCCGGGCGGCGACGGCTCCGCGTCATTCATACCCGAGACGGAGTCGCCACCAACACCCCTTCGGCCCGCCACCGCCGCCGATATAGAATGCGGCGTCGCTGAGACGGCAGCCGCGAGCAAGGCCGTAGGGGGTACCGCTCCTCCCGCCGAGCCGGTCGGGGTCCCGGTACCGCCGCCCCTGACGACTCCATCCACGTTACCAGAGTCGACCTTGCTGACGATGCTCTCCAGACGGGTGATGCGATTCAGCAGCTCATTCTGCCTCCCCTGGCGCGGCTTGCGGTTCCGCTTCCGGGAGGGGAAGACGCAGTCGAGGTCGGAGCGCTCGCACTGCTTGCACCGGGGCTGTAGCTTATCGCATTTGATCTTGCGATGGCGGCAGTTTGCGCAGCTGAGCTGTTGTTTACTGGTGCCGCTGTTGCCAGGAGCGGCGGTGTTCTGGTCGGATTGTTGTCGGGCTGCGGTGGCCGATGATGCCGGCGGTGTCATTGTCTAGTGACTTTTTGTATGGGTGTAAGGTAGTGTGAGTGAATATGAGTGAAGGGTGTGTGAGCGACCCTGACGTGAGTGAAGCTCAAGTGAAGCTCAGGGTGTGTGAGCGACCCTGACGTGAGTGAAGCCCAAGTGAAGCTCAGGGTGTGTGAGTGAGGTGTGTGGATGGTCTTTGCTGACGTTGACGATTTTGAGGGTTTCCCCGCTAGGCCTCTCGCGCTTGCATTCCTTGTAAGTTAAGAGCGAACGGGCGATCGACGTCCTTGTAACTCCTAAGCCCGGGCTGACGTTCGTCCGCCGTCTACGGAGTAGATATTTAGGCTTTCATACAGATTAAAAAGGCGGGGGGAAGGTGTAGAGAAGAGGTAATGATGAATAAGAATAACTATTTCGCGAATCGGTTTCCAGGATTCTGGGGGGTTTCGCTTGATAATGTTGTTCTGTGCTGTGGGCAAAACAGGATGAGCTGTGGGTGAGACGAGATAGGTAGAAGCGCGGGGGGAATATACCTATGAGGATCTGGGCTGTAGCCTGTGTGGTTCCCCACTGCACTGTTCCCCCCCCCCCCCCCCAGGCCCCCGATCTGCGTTCAGATGCAAAATTTCCCAGGGGTTGCCCGAAACCACCTTACCACCCCGCTGCAGTAGGCGTAAGAAAAAACCTTAAAAAAACAAGGCTAATAGCTGCCGACCACTGGAACGGGCAGATTTACGTAGAAATGACTGATATGTCAGCACGTCTGTACTCGTAGGATCACACGTACATCAGTAGTCGTGATTTGCTTAGTCTCGCTAGAGATGAAGGTCTGGCTACCTTGGTAAAGATTTAGTTTCTCACCCGGTATGTTGCTGCGATTAGGAGAGAATTTGACAGACCACCTGGATATCGTGGACCGTGGTTACAGTTTGGGTTTCTTGCCTGCCCGATGGAAGTGCCAAGTCTGTCCAGGAGACGAACAAAGACCTGGACCGTCAACATCGGCGCGGCGCGGCGCTCGGAAGACCGCCGAGTGCGAGCCTGAAAAAATTGCGGAACTATCCGTCCCCCGGCCAGGCCTCGTCGTATTTATTCGTACTTTCGATCGGAGGTATTCGTAAGCCAAATCGACGATGCTGAAAGAGTGATAGCGCGCTTGCGTACTATACTCCGGGGGACCCTCACTCTCAGCATAACAGTCATTGAACTTGGGGCCCCTTGAGATGACTCAAACCCAGAAATCCTTCCTGAAAATGTTACAGACGAAAAAAATAAAACAAAATAAAATCATGCAAAGAGATAATAAGACACACACAAACTTGGCTTTTTGCTAAGCCCATAACAAGAATTGAAGAGACATTCAACGAAAGGAAACAAGGAAACAACAAGAAAATATGCCCGAAATGGATAATGAACACCTAGACTTCATCACGGTGAACACCACCCTCCCAACCCTCCCCCTCCCCCCTCTCGCAACGCGCAAGCCCGTCCTCACCGAGCGTCTCATCCTCAAGCCCGTAAGCCAAGACGACCTGTCCGCCCTGCACGCCATGCGCTCGCAGCCCGAGGTCATGAGGTGGGCCGTCGCCGGCCGCCCCGACGCCGACCTCGACGAGACGCAGGCCTGGCTGGACCACAACCTCCCGCCCAACGACGCGCACAACTACAACTTCACCATCTGCCTCCGCTCGACGGGCGAGTTCGTCGGCCTCGGCGGCGTCAAGCGCATCGGCCCCAGCAGCCCCGGCCTGCCCGGCGGCGAGCTGGGCTGGCCCGAGATCGGATACCTCTTCTGCAAAGAGGCCTGGGGCAAAGGATACGCCACCGAGTTCCTGCGGGGCTTCGTCGGCGCGTGGTGGTCCCTGCCCCGCTCCGCTGCGCCTGCGCTCCGGGTTGAGAAGAGCGTCGTCGGGGAGGAGACCCGGCTGTCCCAGGAGCAGCCCGGGTCCGAGTCCGAGTCCGAGGTGAACGGGGTAGCCGTGGTGGCCGTGGGGGAGATTCTCACCGCCGTGACGGAGCTGGACAACTTGCCCAGCCAGAAAGTCTTGGACAAGACAGGCTTCCGAAAGCTCAAGGTCTGGACGGAACGCGATGAAAAGACGCAGCAGACGACGACGCTTGTCGGCTATGGCATCGAGGCGCCGAAATAGGAAAACCCCCAACCACAATGCGATAATTGGAACGGCAGCACTGAAGATGGAAGAGGAAAATGTGGGAAAGGAAGGAAATTCACCACTGACCATGCGTCGTTCGATTAAACCGCCCACCCATCCCTGGGCTCTTTGCGGCGTTCAGCTCCAGATGGGTGCGTTGCCGCAAAACCTTGTTGGTCTACCTTATTTAAGTTGGCCAAGAGATTTTTTTGGGAGGCTCGGCACCACCTCAACATGGGGCATACCCGGGTTTTCTAGCTCTCGAATGGAATTGAGAGCGCCGTAATGATGGGGCCAGCCAGTACGGCGCGGAGGTCGCAACGAGGACGGCATCGGACACGAGACTCGGGGTGGAGAACACAGCTTCGGACAATTTGTGTCGTCCGTGATTCCTCCGATCTCATCGGGGCTAGCACCGCCGATGTTTCCCGGACTCCTTCTCCGGTATATAGTAGAACAGATGACGCCAAAAAGTTAAAGGCATCCCATCATACAATAGAATCATAGAGAGAAGCGGTACAGACGAAATCCCACATTGCCTCATTTGTGCCGACCCGATCTCGAGTATTGCCGTCGCAACACAGTCACTGTCGTCATCCCTACCACACCAACAACTACTACCTTACCCAAGAAAAGACCACCGAGACCAACATGTCGCAACTCGGAATGGCCAACACCATTGCCACTGCTACTGGCGTCCTCGGGTGCGCATGGTGGGCAGGTTAGCAAGTTCCCTTCCCCCTTTACTCGCGTGCTCCCACTCTTTCTCTTTGTGCCATCATCAGCGTGGTCCACGTCAATTGCTGACTTTTAGTCTAGGCGCGGCAGCATCATTGTCCATGTTCAGCATCCCCGCCATTCTCCAAACCAGCGCCGAGCCAGGTCATGCACTGAAGCTGTGGCAACACATATTTTTGAACGGCGCGTCGACCGGCCCAAAAGTAGCGCTCGCCGTTACGCTCTCGCTGGCCTACTCTGCATACGATCGCTACGACCAGGGTGTTGCGTGGAAGCCGTTTGTTGCCGCTGGAGCTTTGAGTCTCGCCATCGTGCCCTATACCATCATCTTTATGTCGTCAACGAATAATGCGCTCATGGCCGGTGCACGGGGCATCGCAACGCTGGGTCTGTCCGAGACCACGGATTTGTTGAAGAGGTGGCAGGCACTCAACGCCGTGAGAAGCATCATTTCCCTTGCGGGCGCCGCTATCGGTTTGTGGTATACTGCTTTCCAATGAGCGTGAAAGGGTTTGGTTCTATCCAAGACATATCGATCGTTTCTGTATAGACAGGGAACCGAGGCGACGGAACGGCGACAGATTCATGTTAGATAAAGATAGTCCTCGAGGTGTGCCGACCAGGCAGATGGTAGGCGGCCAGTGCAACAACAGGTGGTCATCCCATTCCCGTTGGTTGCTTCAGTGTCAGGAAGTGGTAGAAATGGCACTTGGTCGACGCAATGCACAACAGCCGGTCCCTGCAAGCCTTGTTCGTAATCTTTGGCCTTGTGCTCACCGCCAGATCACTGTCCCAAAACCTTGGCTGCAACTGCATCATACATGGCTGCTGCAACAATTAGAATTAGATGGACACGCAGAGTCACCACGGTAAGCCAGGGTAAAGGCCCTATGCCATGTATTCGTAAGAATGTACAATGCACTGCCGCGGATCACCTTCCGGTTGCTAGCAGCGTTTCTGGAAGTCTGGAAGATGGGGCGGGAGTAACGAAAAGATTGGGTGGATTGTCGAACCGTATCTCTGGTGTTTTGCAAATGCGCTCGCCGGGTTCCAGCCTGTCGGGGAAGCAAATTCGGGGAAGCAAATTGGCCGCGGCGTAGGTGGACACGGTGACGCTGTCTTGGAGGTTAGTGAGTCTGGAGTCTAGGAAAAGTAGCTTCCCAGAAGTCGTGTGGTGGAGGGCCGGGGAAGAAATGAGATGGAGCAGAATTCGACCAGCTCAATGGCGTGTGGCTGGGCAGTTCCTCTTCAGCGTCTGCTGGTTCCCTTTGGCCTTTAACTCTCTTGATTTCCGTATGAAGAGTTCAAGACCAGACGGCACAACCTGTCGGCTTGGACGGGTTGCCTCTGGAATAGAGGGTTGCGTGGCTAGGGCCGGCTGGCGGCTGAGCGGGCACCAGCCTCCGCAACAAGGCACATCGCAGCTGGGCATGTCCAGCAGACGGCTCACCTGGGCAGACTTTCAGGCTGCATCCTGGGGGGCCGAGGGAACTGGGCATCGACATCCATCGCTTTCGCCGGGCCTCTTTGGTCATCTGGATCATCTGGATAGTTGGGTCCGTTTTGCTGCCCAGCCTCACTTTGCCTTATCTTCTGGAGCCTGGAAGGTAAAGTAAGGAGTATGGATGCCAAATCATGTTGATCAGCTGGTGGGGAGTCGGGGACGCGATGGTCGAGATATTAGGCGTAACCTCGGGAGTTGAACCCAACACGACGACAGAGTACGGATGCATCGAGATGCCGTGGGATGGTGGTGGTGACTGGTGAGAGAGAATGCGTGTGTGTGTGTGAGGTAAGGTAGCTCGTTAGGAATGTGTGCCTATGCAAGTCAGAGGGGGTGGAGCGGTGATGTTCCCAACTAGCGGTCGTGAAAAGGTGAGATTGCCATGGGGGAGAAAAGGTACATCGTGAGAAATGGAAGCTACAGGAAGAAGGCACCCTAAGGCGGTACGTACCCAACGGTTAGAGATGCGTGGAAGCCAAGTGAGAGGGAAAGATCCTTGCAGATACAGCTCAATCACGCAGGCAAGACATGTACTTTTCGAAAGGCAGCCGACGGTCCGGCCCAAAATTGTCCCCGCAAGGAAAGCTGCGCCAGGGTGCACGTGTCAGCCCAACAGCCAAACGTTTTCCCTGTTTGATCGCTATTCTTACCTGCCACTGCCTTGCCTGCCTTGTCCTTCCCTGTCTTGCGCAGCGCTGCTGCATGTACCGCAGTACGGCGCAGACTTAGTTAGATATTGAGCGGAAGCTGTGAAAGAGCCCAGCTGCGTAAGGTAAGAACCACCAGGCGGATCCATTGCTTCCCACAGTTTGGTTCTGCCTGACGGGATGGAAAGTCCATGTCTACCTTAACCTACCTACCTAGGTAGAAGGCAAGGTAAGTTGGTAAGGCATGTACTTCCTCCCTCGAGTCCCTTCCTTCCTTCCCCCCCGGTCCCCGTTCCATCTCACCACAAAAACAATGTACCTAAAGCCCCAGAGCGGCGGCGACCTTGAACCCCCAAAAAATGCCCATCCGTCCCATCGTGCGTGCGTCTTTGACCCCTCCAACCCCCCCAGCAACAACAAGGCCCAAGTACCCTGCCCACCTCATGTTGCAGTCCGAGTACTTTAGTTACATCATCAGCTCGCTGCCCGCCCAATCCTCCATCAACCAGCTGCACCGCACTCTCCCGTCGTCGCTTTCGACTCTCGCTCGACCTTGGACTGTGTTTCTTACACACATTCATCCCCTTCATCCACGCTTCACACCCACTAGTCCTCGACCCGGATATTTCTCTCCTGCCACCGGCTGCACTCGCGCGCACCCTCTCGCTCCTCTGGCGCGCATATTGACCGAGTCCTCATCCTGCGCCTACCAGCCTCGACTTGCATCCGCACGTATCCATCCGGCTTTGACTCACGGCTTGGCTTCAGCCTACTTCTGCCTCGCATCTCTCTCTTTCACTCTCGTATGACGATGCTGTGGCGGCGGCCCGCACCCAAAGTACCTTGAGTTATTAGTAGCCGTTAAACCCTCAACTCAACCTTGCCCGCGCTCGCAGTCTTACGCTAGCAACCTGAACTCTTCTCGAGCCTTTCAACATCAACCGAACTGGACGATAACTTGCGCTCCAAATCGTCCATAATCCTAACGCCAGCTCGTTCCAGCCACTGCCTGCGAAGCCAAAGCCCTTTGCTTGTCAGCAGCACACGCCACCAAAACCGTTATATTTCTCCATCCCGTCCAATCTCCACACTTTTGTCCCGGGACATTCCTACCCACAAAAACGCACCGTTGATGTAGACTTCGGCCCCGAATGGCGACGGCGACCGCAGAGGCCGACTCCAAAGAGTCCTCTGCTCATTCTCATCCTCAACCTCAGCCGCAACCTCAACCGCAGGCCCAGACACAGGCTCAGAACCCCGATCCAAAGCCATCCTCCCCTTATGGTTATCTGTTCGGCCCAGACAAGGCTCCAACCCCGATTCTCGATGCTCTCCTTCGCGCTATCGCCCAACACATTGTACGTCCGCGACAAACCCTGGCTTCCTCCACCTCGCTTCCACCCACCCATGGCCAAATACTAACTGAACCCCGCCTGTCTATAGATTCGCGATATTGGCGATAGACATGTTCAAGCCTTGACCCCTCAAAAGCTGGCAGCCTTCTATAAGGCCGTTGGTGGTAATTATGACTGTAAGCCAGAATGATCACCCCGTGCAAGGCACTTCATGCTGACGGCTCGTCGCCATAGCCCTATTTGTCGATATGCCATTTCCCGCCATATCCTACATTTGGCAGGTAACCGGCTGCCAGCACTCCATGCAGCCCTCCGACAACGACTTCGACGCTCCTTCCGTCCCAGCCTTGACCCTTCGTGGCTTCGTTCGATGGGAGTCGATCGAGATACTGCTGAGCCCCGAGGAACACGTACCTTTCATCCAGCAGGCCGTCAAAAGCTGGAACCTGAAGCATCCCGAGACGGGCGAACCTTTCCCCCCAGATCTACCCGCAGATGCTCTGCCCAGCGAGCCAGACGCCGGAATCGAGAAATGGCACAAGAAATGCGCTGAAAAACTGAGGAAGGCAGCAGTGCCAGACGAGGAGCCGGCATCACCAAAGACTGCCCCTGCTCGCCCAGCAGAAAGAGACGAGCCGAGAGTGAAGGCGGCATACGTGCACGTCCGAAATCCCTATCCGCCCAAGGGATCACCGAAGCCCTCACCTCCGCCTCGTGGTCCTCAGGCAGACTACTTCGTTCCGCCAGGCCGACCACCAGTTGCTTACAGCCATGTTCCTGGGGGTCACGCCGCGAATCGGTACCCCCCATCTCGCCTCAACATTCCCCAGAGGACCCCAGACCAAGATCGATTCCGAGGACAGAACTCTCCTGACGACCGTCGACGCCGTAGCTTTTCTGACTACCCGTCTCCTCCACAGGATCCGCACGCCAACCCTGAGCACTTGCACCCCAATCGACCGCCCATGCAACCCCGCCGACACAGCCAACCTCGACACTATTCTTCGTCCTCAACGTCTGATTCCGAGGACGCGGCGAGTCCGCGATCTAAACGTCGCCCTCATACACATCATTCAAATGAGCCGCCACCACCCGGTTTCCGTCGTATGGGCGCTCCCTCGGTACCTCAGCCGCCACCTGTCACTCGTGTACATCGTGCGGAGTTAAGACCAGAGGATGCAAGGCGTCGTAGTATACCAGTCGTAGATGGCATCAGGGAAAAAATCAGCGAGAAAGTGGCCTCCATTCTTCCCACTGGACGGTCACCAGAAAGACATCGAAGCACCTCGGGTCGTCGAAGCGATCCACCATCCCGCCGAAGCCGAGAGCACTTGCCTTCTTCTAGGCTCAACCGCAGTTGGCCTGATATTGCATCAGAGGAGTCGGAAGCTTCGGACTCGGAAGAAGAGCGCCGCCGCCGATTCAAAGCCCGAGAACGTAGGGAATTGGAAGAAAGAGAGCAACGGGAAAGGGAGAGAGCTAGAGAGAGAGATCGCGGTCGAGAGCGGGACCGTAGACGCGAAAGAGAAAGAGAGAGGGACCGTGACAGAGACCAAGAGCGCGAGCGCGACCGTGACCGCGTCGTGAACTGGGAGAGACAAGAAGAAATGGAGGCTCGCAAGCGAAGGGAACGGCCGGTCGTGCGGCCTGAAGCGACACGCCGAACGAGTAGTCATGCGGATGTGGACCGCATGCGAGGAAGGCCTGAGCCTCCATGGGATCCTCGAGATCCCCGCGATCGGGAACTGAGAGACGATAGAGATAGAAAGCGGTGGAGAGAGCGCGGAGGAAGCCCGGTCATCTCTGGCGTTGGGGGGCGACAATACCCAGCTCCGCCGATTCGGAACTAATCCCATCATGTGGCGCACTGGGTTTAGCGGGTTATTTTGAGCGATTTGGAGGGTTTTGAATTTCGGATGGGTAATTCAGCTGGGGCATAACGGCATTTCCACTTCCACGTATGTACGTACACCTGGCTCCTCTATCGAAAGAGTGCACACAGGGCAATGAGACATGATATCACTACATCGGCTCGCGATTTGTAACATCTTTCTGGTTGATCAACACAGGTGACAGCTTAGGTACACATACAAGACGCCTATGCCATTTTGACGTTATTTCCACTGCCTTCCCAATGCCATCCCTTCATCATCACTCCCTTCATCTCCAAGCCACTTCAGTTTCTTCAGTCAATAAAAGCCCTTCAGATCAGATACCTTTCCGTTCCAATCATCGATAGTTGCGACGGGGGATTCCAGTCATGTACTTGAGCTTGGAGGTCCACTCAACACCAGTGGGAGGCCAGGTAGGCTCCGGAACGTAGTCTTCATCGTCCTTATCGGCATCGGGCATATCCGAGTCGTGACTGTCATAGTCAGGCTCATCTTCAGCCTCATACTCAATCTCTTCGTCCGCCTTCATGTCCTCAGAGTTCTCGGGAAGCCTGTCCCACGAGAGAAACGCCGGAAGGGGTTCACTGTGATGAACCGAGCCTGAAATCGAGGACTGCGTATTACCATGGTTCGAATCGTTGCTGGTCTCAGAGAGGTCGCTGACATGTCCATGGTCAGGGTGCAGGCTCGATGACGAAGGGCGACCATCACCCGCATCCGACGACTCGTCGCCCTCGGAGACGTCGCCATAATTGCCAGGGTGCGGGCTCATGCTCATCGGCGAAGGATACGCATCGCCGGGGTCCGACTCGCTGCTGCTGTCGGAGGCGTCGTCGTCATCGCCACAGTCGGAGCTCATGAAGACGTCGCTCGCGTCGAAGAGCTCTTTGTTCTTCTCATTTTCGCGGACGAGGGCGCGGAACTCCTTCTTAAGGCGGTCGCGCCTCTTGCGCCGGGCGATGGCGTTATCATTCTCGTCGTCGTCGGTCCAGTCTGAGCAGCCGGCGAGGGGGGAGAGCTCGCGACTTACTTTTCTGTCTTTGAGCTGCTGGCTGTTCTTACCCTCTTGCTTCTTCGACTTTTGCGCAAGCTGAGACTGGGGCTCAGTCTGGGTCTCGGTCTGAGACTTGGTGTGAATACCATTCTCACGCTCTGCGAGTTTCTTCAGGAATGTGTCAATGTCTTTGATGAAGACGTTGAAGTCGCCTAGCTTGTGACGGTCCTCAAGCTTCGTGGGGGTGCTATTCTTGCCTGCGCCGGTGAAGGTGGCGGGATTCTCGATGGACGTGCGGATTTTCTTCTCCGAGTCTTGAGATCCTCCTCCTTTGTTGGTTCGGCGGCGACTGCGGGCTTGGCGGCGGGCGACGCGGGTGTGGTAGGGGCACGTCTCGCCTTCACGAGTGACGATGCCGTCTTCCTCCTTGCAGAGGGGCGAGGCCGAGCCGTGGGCACACTTGTGGTAGAACAGGGCGTTGAGGACGCAGCCGCAGGCCGTGTAGTATTTGTAGACGTGGCGACACATCTCGGGCTATTGGTACACGTAGATCGCAGTGCTCTTGTCAAGGGTCGAGGGGGGTCCTGTTTGGTGAATCGAAACACTTTTTTTTTCTCTTGTTCTCTTGGCTTCGACTGCCTTGTTTGGTATGCTGACCCTGTATTTTGTTTTACAGAACGTTTCGTAGGTAAAGTGTTTCTTTGTTTGCGGAAGTGGGCAAGGTGAACAAGGTGAAGCTATCGTGAGCAAAGGCTGAGGTGAAGGCTGGCAAAATCTGGAAGTTTTGAGCTACTTCCTTTTTTGGAAATAATACTTCTTTCCACACCTGGAAACGACTGACCTTGGATTCGGAAAAGACTGGCTGACCAAGAATAAGGTGAAAGAAGGGCCGCAGTGAATCACACTTTGTCGTTTTACCCTCGATGCAACTAGTTCACCTTCAAGTTAGTCTGAATCACCATTTGCCTCTTTTTAAGGTGGAAAAGAGAGCGGTCAAAGGCCAGAGTAAAAGGAGAAGAAGTTTGGGGGGGGTAAAACTGGTGGAAGGAGGAATAGGGCACAAGATTGAATACAGGCCCTCCTTTTGCGCCTGAGAGACTTCTCACCATTGAGGGCCGCGGGTCCATTGTGTTCAAGGCAGCGCTCAAAGACTTGGAAGGTAGTATCTTGGGATGAATTTAAGGCAGAATGCTTCTGCTAACTCTATCATTAGTCATTAAGTAAGAGAACTATAAGAAAATCCTGAAGTATGTCCTCTCTAGAGACACCAAGGCCATAACCAAATCCCTAGAATTCCGATATCCAAGATCCAGCCGCTTATGACGTCTAATGTTTAATCCTCATGGAGGATATGTAAGTGAAAGGAGAGGCGATGTCCAGCTCTGAAACTGATAGAACCCGTCTAGGGAATTTTCTCGCACGTCTTGCGGCTCGAGAATCAACTCATTTAACATCTCACCTTCTGCCCCCTTTCCAAATCCCCTCCCTGGCTCTCCTCGTCCTCCTTACTCGTGTCGTCGCTCGTGACCAATCTCTGGTCTGTGACGTGCTCCTGTTCCAAGCTGTACTTCTTGACCGTCACGCTGATGAGCATGCAGAACCCGCCAAACGCAATCAAGCTGATCCAAATCGCCCGCAGCGCATCGCAATACGCCTCCACCAGGTCCGCTCTCATCGCATCGCCCTTTGGCATTCTCTTGATCACCTCGACCACAATCGTCGCGTCGCGCGAGTATTCCTCCGCAACGTCCGCTAGCGAAGGGATATCGAGCAGCCTGTTGCGGAACGCATTCTGGAAAATGACGCCTGAGACGGCGACGCCGACAGATTGTCCAAATGTGCGCAAGAAAGAATAAAAGGCGGCGGCTTGCCCGTTAAGGGCCGGTTCGCAGGCGGCCTGGATCGAGAGTGCCATGGCCGGGAAGAGCATGCCCGTGCCGAGGCCGATGGGAATGTTGAGCCAGATCCAGGCGGGGACGGAGGTGTCGGGCCGCATGAGGCACATGAGGCCGGCGCCAAAGGTTATCATGACCCAGCCGGCCCAGAGGGACCAGCGGTACCGACCCGTGACGCCGGCGATGAGGCCGACGGCCATGGCGGAGGGTGCGACTGTGAGACTTTCTGGGAGGGCGGCGACGGCGGAGACGACGACGGAGTAGTCCTTGACGGCTTGGTAGTAGAGGACTGCGAAAGAGAAGTAAGCTTGGGGACGTCCTATGGAAAGGGGTAGAGATAGGGGAAGGGGGGTTGCTCACCAAGGAAGTAGAGAATCGACCAGAGGATCATGCCATGGAAAACGGTCATGATGTAGTTGGCGACCATGGTCCAGTTGTTGAAGATGCCCTTGTCGATCATGGGCACCGGCGCAAACTTCAGCTCCCAGAACCCAAAGGCCACAAGAATGAAAACGCCCAGAATCATCGGCAGCAGACACCTGAAGGAGGCCCACTCATACATGACACCGCCCGTCGAGATGCCAAACAGGAAACTCGTCGAGCCCGCCGTGAACAAGAAGCTCCCGAGCCAGTCAAACTTCTTGAGCTTGGTCCCAATGTGGCCGGGCACCTTGGCCTGCTTGAGGAAGAAGAAGATCATGACCGCGCCGATGGCGATGATTGGAAGATTGATCCAAAAGATCCATCTCCATGAGATATTCTGCGCGAAGCCGGCGCCGATCAGCGGCCCCGTGACCGTACCCACGGACCAAACGGCCGACAGGAGCGAAAACCACTGGCCCCGCACCGCGAGCGGGACGAGATCCGTGATGATGACCTCCGTGAGGGCGAGGATCCCGCCGCCGCCCACGCCCTGAATGGTCCGCCCCGCGATGACGACGTGGAAGTTGTTGGCGAGGGCGCCGACGATGGAGCCCGCGGCGAAGAGCAGTGCCGAGACGTACACGAGGGCCTTGCGCCCAAAGATACTGCTGAGCCCGGCGACGGTGGGCTGTAGCACCGTGCTCGCGAGGAGGAAGCTCGTGCCGGACCAAAAGGCCTCGAGGGCGGTTCCGCCGAGGGCGACGCTCATTGTCGGGAGGGCGACGGAGAGGGTTGTTGCGTCAAAGGCGACGGCTAAGGCGATGGCGCAGAGGGCGCTGAAGGCGAGGAGGAACTCCCGTGAGGGTTTGAAGACGACCTTGCCATTTTGGTCGATTTGGGTGGTTTGTTTTTCCAGCACCACTGCTGGTGTTTCTGTTTGTGTAGTAGACATTCGGAGAAGTGTGATTATGTTCGAGATAGGAGGTCCAAAAGGGTCAAAACTGGACCTGACTTGTGCTTAGCCAGTTGTATATCTTCTTATTGGACTGTGATCAACAAGATGAGTTCTCTTGAACTGATATTGTGAATCAGTCAAGGGCCATTCCCATAGCCTTATATGACATTCAATGTGCCCAAGCCAAGGCTAAATTGGTCATAAGTGAAATTTCACCCAACAGGCCCGCTCCGTTGGGAAGCCTTACGCCGGTGCGGCTCAACCACCGTCGAGGCCACGTTGGTAGGGCGCCGTGAATGGCATCATGGACGACCGAGTGCGAGCCGGCCGGCCTATCATTACGTTTGTACTGATTCACCATCCACACAAAGTCCGAGCAAGTCATGATTTCTCCGCCGCCGAGGGAGCCAAGTCCGCAAAAGTGCAGGGCATGAGAGTAGTCCGGCTGGGTTCGTACGACCGGATTAAGCACCGGCTTAGAAACGGGTGTGATGTTGTTAGCGCAATTTTCGTTGGTTCGTACGTGCTGTAGCAGGTGAGTCGGCCGAAATATTATGCCGAAGGGAGCGGGAGGCTGACCGGCATAACGTTCGGGGTGTTGTGGGGCCTAACCCGGCTGAAGGATCCGATGCACTGGCCATCACCTTAAAGTCGTGATGCGGTTAGTTCCCCCTACGCATACCTTAGTAAACGATTGCGAGAAGGAGAGAAAATGCCAGATGATGGTCAGGAGGTATAAGTTGGAACCATTTACGGACAGGACAAGATCTGCAAACAATTAGCGGCCTGCGCCATTGTGAGTGATGCCATATTACTCCTCTAAACATCCTGAGCAGCATCTTGGACAATACACTGTCGGGTCCTCGCTCTGGTAAGTCGGGCTTGCTTGATCGTTCCCGTTTCCGGATTCACCCGACTCTTACCCTCAGCATTTTACAATCTGGTCACGTCGGTGTTTTGGGCGAAGGAGAGCTCGGGCGGTGCTGATGTATCTCCTGATCTTCTACGCCCAGATGACTTTCAAGCAAGTACACGCCCGGCTTGTGACCGGCTATCTCCGAGGCGGTACAATGGCCAAAGGTGATTGGTCTGCCAGATCAGGAATGGGCATTTGCATCAAGGCGTCCAGCTCGGGCTTTTCAGGGACAAGGGAAATTCACCGAGCGGGGACTTGAATAGTTCACCAGATATAATGTGTCGTCTTCTCAGGTTGTCTGATGGAGTGACTGAATAACAGAGGCTACTCTTGCTCAAGTCATACCGTGACGGCATTTCTCAAAGCTTCAGAATTGACAGGAGTTCTCAAAAAGTCGCTTTCGGAGCGGCGTCAAGGCCCGCTTGTCCGGAAAGTCAATGGGATTGCCCTGCCAACTAGATTTCAAGACAGCCGCTTAGCCGAAGGGCTGGAATGGTGAGCGCCTGCTGTGAATTTTGCCCAACGTCCAAACGGCCTGGCCTGACTAGCAGGACGTTCTTGAGAGCCTTGGGACCTGATGAGTAACACTCCTTGAATGTAAGCAGGGTAATGGTGAGAGCGACAGTATGTTTTCATGGTGTTAAGCAGGCGAATGCCGTTTAATTCGAAAGAGATATCAGTTCGCCCGCCCCACTGCCGCACATGGACTTCTCGATGAACTGGCATGTTTCTCCAGATCTTGTGTTTGGCCGCCTCGTTGGTGAGATTCTAGCAGGATCGTCTGATTTATGAAAAGTATAATCAAAGACAAATCTGCCGAGAGCCACAGAGGTATCGATGGGCAAAACTAAGTGTCAAACTTGTCAGAGGGGAAGTTGGCCTGTGGGCGAGAAATTCTCCGCGCATCCCGGCGGCGTTCTAGCAAGTCAAGTCCATTAGGCAAGTCCCGAAGTTTGACTCGAGAAAGATCTGCCCACCCTCCCATATATCGGCTTCCAGGAGTAGCAATTCTCGCTTGGAGCTCACTCTGCGCTACCTTTGTCGAACTTTGACTAGGCGATGGAAGTGTGCAGTTCTGGACCGAGATGCTCGGTTTTCTTCCATCAACACAAATTTCTGATTGAGAACATGCGCCAGAATCCTCGTTGAACAGGATGCCGTGACATGGGAAGCCGGAGAAGCCCGCCATGGGTCCCTAGGCTCAGGCAGTCCTAGTGACCTTGCGCATTCTCGGAAGCCTCCACGACTCTGACAGATTGACAATGACAGCCGAAAGAAGGATTTGGGCCCCCAGGACCTTGAACCCCGCCGGCGGGTCGTTCAGGTTCGAGTTCTTTGGAACGAATTTGACAGTTGCCTTGGTGTCGAGGTACCATTGATGTGTGAACCTTCAGACCGCAGCTGTCTGGACTCGCGGATCTTGATCACACTCGTTCAAGACTCATGTTGTGTTGCAACGCAGCTAGACAATTTCTATCGTGTTTTCGTGCACATCAAGCCCATCCCACTCAGCGCTTTGATAGTTTGCCCTTCAATTGGATCAAATTAGCAAAAGATTCTCGCTATACCTGGTTGATGAAAGAAGTAGCGCGCTGGAGACCCGCCCTCGGACCCTCGAACAAGAAACTCGTAGCGTACAGATGTCAAACGGCATAGGCAAGTTGACAGCGGGGGGATTCGGGATACGGGATTGAGAGTGTTGCGGCATCAGTGCGTATTCTGATGCATGTCAATCTGTACGGCCATCCTTGTATGCCGTTAGAGTAAGTCAGCGACCCACGCCGACGATTGAGATGGACGAAAGGTGACAGCTTGTTGAAGTCAGAAATAAGCTCGCCACCTCCCCGACGTTGGAAGTGGAGAACTGGTAGATCCTAAGATCATTGTAAGGATCCACTGAAGACAAGAAAGCAGCAAATGGACGATCCTCGCTTCCATTAGTCCAGTTTATGTAAGCAGCTTGGTACTATGTACATACATACACCTTCCCATCAACATACACCCTTACTTGCCCAAGACATCCAAAAAGAAAAGGAAAACAAAACAACAATAACAACGACACGAGTGTCAAATCTCTCCTGGAATTGAGAGCCCGGGATTAACCTCTTTCGGGCATCGCCGTGATCGTTTTCGACATATCAAGTGGACGTACTCGTGTGGATCGGGACGCGTCGGCTACATATCACGGCGCTACTCAGACTGGATCACTCCGCAAGATGCCGAGCGGATTTCTGTGTCATTTCACGGACTTCACGATTTCGATTCGAGTCTGTTTCCATCACTGGAGTCAACAGGGCTTTCGACTCTACGTCGTGAAGCCCGACAACCACGACAGAATTTCCTCATTAGGATGCCCATGATCGGATGAAACGATCCCATCAGCCACGATGACGAATGGCTAAATCTGCTTCGCGCCGTCAACTGTCGCGTGTGTGTGGACAGCCACCCGACAACCAGGCCGTCGGAACTGAAGGTTCAGCAAACACTGATCTACGCCTGCCCTTCGACTCGTTAGCAGCAATGGAACCCTGTCGACCGAAAGAACCTGCTTCGTGATATCGACGGACTAATTAGCCCGCCAGCATCCCGCAGAGTGTAAAACCGCTCGCAGGTTGACGTGCTCAGCCCCGCGGAGTTCGAAGATCCGCCATGTCCAGTGCTGACAGCCTATCTGTCGTTGAATGGCTTGCTTCCATTCTGGGGCTGGAGTCGGAGCCGAGTGTACGATGCCAGAGCAAGAACCCTTGCCTCATAATCAGTGATGATCAGTACTAACGGCGGCGCGTCATCGCGATCAGACTTTGCCGAATTCTTGGTATGAACCATTTGCGTTTGATTATTTAGATTGACAGTACTCTTAACGGCTTTCTAGTGGCCCGTCACGCAAACCTTTTGCACGGCAGTCGGTGAAAGTGCCCTACAAGGCCACTACCACGATGCAGAGCACATACGCACACACAGTCCCTGACACCTGTCTGAGGTGCCATCCATCGACCGGCTTGCCGAAGAGCCGGGTTCTTCCCTACATGATCGACACAAGGATCCCAGCCGTTGTTCACCTCTCACGGTACATTTCGTTTGCCGTCTCAAACAGTGTGCGCACGAGCGGATGGGACCACCCTTGATCACCAACATCGACGAATCGTCAGGGCTTAGCGGTGCATGAAACAAACCTTCCGAAAGACCAGACAGCATAGGCTACAAGCTGCCCAATGCTAAGACCACCAAGATCGCCCTCCACCAACGGCGCGGTACTAAATGATCATTTTGAGCTCTTGCTATTTGCCAACGCGTCAAGTTGCTACCACAGAGTTTCGTAGAGCGTCCCATCGGTGATCCAGCCCCTCCGCTGTTCTTTCTCCGAGCAGGCATACGGCATGTTGGCTCAGCCTTAGAGATCCATATTCAATGAAGGATATGTGGTTCATCGCTATGACATAGGAGCTTCTACCCCTCCATCCCGCTACCTCTCCCTGTTGTCTTCTCTTGTTGTGACTCGACAATTGGCCTCGGGATTTTATGCTTTTGTTCCGAAAACTCGTGAAAAAGAGCTTGGCCCCTCACAGCCCACCTTCGGAACAGCCTCCTGCACTCTGTTCTACAGACTTGCTTCGCAGTACCAACACTGCCCAATACGAATATGGTGAACACAGGAAAGCCCTCCGGCGGCTGCAAGCTATGCAGAGCCAGGAGGATCAAATGTGATGAGGGGAAGCCATTTTGCATGAGATGCAAGAAGTCGCGGCGGCAATGTCCAGGTTACCGAGATCCGTTCGAGGCCAACATCCGCGACGAAACGCAAGCGACCATCAAGAGGTTCAAGAAGTCTAGAGGTGAAGAGAGTTCTGACGAAGAAGGCAAGGATATCGCGCCCGTTTGTAACAAGCAGTGCTTGAAGACGGTTGCTGGTCCGAAATACAAAACGTTCGATTACTCGAATCCCGGCGCTTTTCCTTATCACAAAGACGACGATTCGACCGAAGAAGACGAAGACATTCCGGCGTCCATGTTCAATTCGCTGGATGAGCAGGCCTCTTGCTACTTCCTCTCGGAATTCATTATTGTCCCGTTTACTCCCACGGCCCGAGGGTACTACCGGTTTCTCCCTCGGTTCCTGAGCGGAACGAACGTCTCCAAATGCCTTTCCCAAGCTTACAAGGCTGTCTCTCTGGCTGCGCTGGCCAGCCGCCGTACGGTAAATGCCAGTGCCGCTCTGTTCCATGCTCAGGGTCACTATCTAAGGGCAGTCCGGGCCGTCAACAAAGCTATAATGGACCCAGGAGAGGTGTTGAATGACCAAACTCTTGGGGCCGTGCTTATGCTGGCTTTCTACGAGGTGAGTGTGTTGATGTGAACATTCTTACAGGACTTCACGCTAACAAGCGAAAGATTTTGACGTCTTCTCGAGACTCTATCGCCGAGTACACCAACCACATGAAGGGTGCGGCAATCATTGTCAAACTAAGGGGTCAAAAGGGTCTCGAGACACCGGAAGGCGAAGAGATGTTCGCAATTACCCGGAATCAGTGCCTCTCCATCCACTGTCTTCCAAACTCTCCCGAAGTATCCGAATTCACATGGCTTCTGCATCACGAATGCCGTGGTCGTATGCAGCACGCCATTGCCAGCATGGATATCCAGAGCAGTCAAATTCGACAAGACGTTGACCGAGTTCTTGGGGCGGGTGATCGCAAGCCAGAGACAATCCAAAAGGTGCTCGATGCTCTCAAGCGTGCTCAAGCGTTGGAGGCCAAATTCCGCAAACTCAACAACGATCCCAGCCCGCAGTGGAAAGTCGATACAGTGGAGTGGATACTGGAGCGATCGGACGACGAGCTCGACACGACCCCAACGTTCCCGGGGCCTGTGTACGGGTTCTTCAACTTGCCTCTCGCAATCTTGCATGTCGCCACATGGTGTTGCCATCTGATGCTCACCACAACGATTCTGCGGTGCATGGCCTGGCTTGTGTCCCCCGACGACTACCGGATGGGAGAGGAGTATGAAGAGCTGAAACGCTCGGCCATCCTGCGTATCGAAGACACCATCGCTTCGACCCCTTTCTTCTGCAAGTGGAATGGCTACGGCGTGGTCGTAGCTCAGTTCCCCTGCGGCAACACCAAGCCAGACGACCCTTTGAAGGGTGCTGCAGGACTGATGGTCTTGTGGCCCATGGTAACGGCTTGCAGCAGCGACTTTGCAACTCCCAGACAGAGACGGTTCCTGAGGGGTCGTCTCAAATATTTGGCAGAGGTCGCCGGAATCAGGCAGGCCAATGTTTTTTACAATGTAAGTAGTGAAAGTTATCCCGGCAGCCCTGGAAATTTGCTAATGAGCATGCCTAGATGCACGACATCTCTTCTCCATCCCGAGAAATCGAGCGAGACCGCAGATCTGGCGTCCAGTCATCTTCTGGGGCGGACGCCTTGCTCAGCATGCCCTTTTGATATCGCACAACACGTACAGACGAGATGAAACGGTCATTTCCTTCCTACAGCGAGACGAGACCAGCGATTCTTTCAACTTTCCATCTCCTTCATTCGAATCACATTATTTTTTTAACAGCGCCAGCGTCAGCGACTGCTACATTCCTTGAGTTATGCAAACTGTACAGAATTCCCCTCACGTTGCTACATATGACTGTTACGGCAAAAGTTGCATTTGGTACGGTGTGCATCATCCGAGAGGCGGCCTCTGGAGGCTCTGCTTCCCGCGCGGTGTTGATTTCCTAAAGACAGATGTTATTTTTATTTTTCCCCGTCTTTTGAGTTCATGCGGGTGTCTTTTACATCATCAAGCGCTCGTTTCATGTCTCGTTTATTCCAATTTCGTTAAATGTAAGCGGGGAGCGTAGGATTTGGTCTCATTGTATTTCTCCTTGTTTTATTGGGCTTAGGTGGGCTACGTAGGGTAGGAAAGCGTTGGACTTAGATGACTGGGCACGACTTCACGACGATTGGCATGAGTTTGACGTAGGGATAAACAACCTTTTCGTTACCATCCAGGAGATTGACCTTCAGAATTTTACAGATGAAATACTTTGCCCAAGACTATCCCACGCGTGACGTTCCAAGTCCTGCCTCGATCTAGCTTCAAAAAGGAGACAAGGTAAACCGACATGACCAACCACATACAAGGCGTATCCGTGGGGAAGATAGCATTCCCAAAACGCCAAACATTCTGTTATCCAACAACAGTGAACCGGTACACCACCAGCCTCTTCCAACGGCATCTTCACCACAACTCTCGAGCAACACTCACTCACCTCCCACGCCGCCCGACACCGATCCTCTCCTCCCTCGTCCGTCCCCCACGGCCCCCATCCCCGGGCGTAGGCGTAGTCTGCACCCCGCCGCCGCCGCGCCCGCTCTGGCCCCTCTGCGCCCTCATCATCTCCTGCTGCCTCCTGAGCAGCTCCCGCTGCTGCACCTCGTCGTACTCCAAGCTGTCGTCGACGTCGACGTCCGCCGTGAGCATGCTGTCGTCGTCTACTAGACTCTGTTGCTGCTGCTGCTGTTGTTGTTGCTGGAGGCGTTGCATCTGCTGCATCTGGTGGATCTGAGCTTGCGTGTACCTTTGCTGGGGATGCTGCGGCGAGGACTGCTGCTGCTGCGGTACGGGTGACGAGAAGGGATGCTGCTGGTGCTGTGCCTGTTGCTGCTGGATGATCCGCTGCTGCTGGAGCTGCTGCTGCTGGGCGGCGAGGGCGGCTTGGTGTTGTTGCTGCTGCTGGGCCTGGACGAGGACCTGCCTTTCTCGGACGATGGCCTCGCGGGCGCGGCGGTCTTCGTAGGAGGCGATATCCTCTGCCGTTATGGCGAGGGTTGTTGCGGGGCGGCGGAGCATGACTCTTGTGTGTGTGAGATGGGGCTGGTGTTGTTTTTTACTGCTTCTCTTCTGCGCGGCCTTTTTTTGGCCGGAGATGTGCGATGAGGCGGGGGGGTTCAAAGGGGCGATTCAGTGGGTGAAGGAATGCGCGAGTGAGTAAGTGAGTGAGTGACAGGCACCCGTTTGAATTGAGCGCGGGATTGTGGGGGCGGGAGGTGGTTAAGGATGCCGTGTGTGTGATGAGATGTGATGAGTGATGTGAGGCCGGTGGATGATGGAGCTGTAGCCTGGCGGGGAGAGAAGAGGGGGGTGCCTGGCTCGATCCTTTCTGCGGGATGAAGGGTAATAGATTGACGTCCCGGGGGTTGAGAATTCGGGAGCGTTGGATTCGGGAGGAATGAGAGTTCGTTCAGAAGCGATGATTGATAGCCTGGAGTCGTGGGGTGTGTGGTGAGTGATGAGTGAGCGTCGTCGGGTGAGTCCGTCAAAGTATCAAGTGAGTTCGCGGCACGGGGTTGCAGCTGAAGACGACGACGGGGGCGGATATCTGCAACGGGATGCGATGCGATGGTATGCAAGGTACAGAAGTACGGAGTACGTAAACTCGGTGAACCGGTTCGTGGGGGTGGTGCGTAGTTTCTCTCTCTGTAGCTGAGAAAATGTCGTGGAGCTGATATGCAAGTCGAGAGTCGTTGTGATGTTGGGTTTCCTCTTTTGTTAAAGTTCAGCGCGACCCTGGCGGGACAGGCGACGGCGCGCGTAAAAAAAAAAAAAAACATCCATGGATGGTTCAGGCGGGTCAAGGCCCAAGCCGGGGCGATCCGTGGTGGTGGTGGGGGGCCGGCGTTCGCTGCAGTGAGCTGGGTCCACTGTTCCGGCTCAGGCGGGGGGCTCGGCGGCGTTGGATGTCGCCCAGGCCCCTGTGCAGGTGGGAGAAGGGCGGTACTGTAACTGTATGCAAGTCAGCCCTAGGGGATTCGAAATATGCATCTCGCTGCGACGTTACGATATTGAATTGTTGGTGCCTGTTTGACAGAGGTTCACTTTGGTGATCCTCTCAGGCAAAGGAGATGTCAGTCTCCATGGGATACAGACAGAGGATGAGAGAGGAATTCACACGCCATACAAGGTAAGTTGGTTGTAACATTACAATACTACTTTAGATACCTAGGTATTCAATTTTACTCTACACCTGATTGCATGCCAGCAAATGTCGCTCAGTAAATGCCCGTAGCATAGACATTCTCCGCCTCCCATCGCAAGAAATCCCCGAGGTCGTGTCCCAAATTGTATCCCATAGGCACAACCTCGGGCTCCCCATCAGAACCTCTCATCATGACGAGGTCCATCATCGGACTAGGCGGCAGGCTCCCGATACTCTCCCGGTTCTGCCGTTTGGGGTGCTGTTGTTGGCCCTCCATCGTCCACCGCCGAATGTTGCACCCTTGCGTCAGGAACTTGGACACGTTGACGTTGCCTTCGTTCCAAAACCCGGTAGGGTGCTCAGCCTTCACAGGAATGGGCAGGTCGCTGTCCCGCGAGACTCTGCCAAAGGACTTTGGTGAGCAGTCCACGGTGGACGCGCGGGACCTTTGCTGCAGCCGGCTCGTTGGCTCATCGGCGTCGCTGGTGAGCAGGCGACCGTGGCTATCGAAGCCGAAGCCATCGAACCACGCTGTAAGGTCGGAAATCTCTTCGGCCTCTGTTATCTGCGAAAAATCTGCGGGGTCTGAGAAGAGGTCGCCCGCGCCGCCGAGGATGGCCATCTGGAAGGCCGTCCAGTCGAGCGTATCATCGGGGTCGATTTTCAGCCCCTTGACGACTTCTGACTTGGGAAAACGTATGTTGCCGTGTCTGAAGGCTGAATGATTGAACGTGAATGGTGTTGATTGGAAAAAGATGAAATCGTCTTCGTCAACGGGTGCGAATGTTCGTGCATGCCTGTTGCTGTGTTTTGCTGATTGGCCTCCCACGTCGGGCGTGGTGACGACTACTTCGGGAATCGTCGGTAACAGCGGTGCCTGCGGCCTAGGAAGAAATCTTGCCGGGTTCTTTGCTGGTGGAGGAGGAGCAGCCTGCGTCGGGTCCTCAGCCTCGTATTCATCCTTGGACACAGGCTTCTTCCTCCGCGGTGACTTTTCCTTGAAGGGCAGGTCTCGTAGTACACTTGCGTCGAGAAGCTCGGGCGGAGTCATGGCCTCAGAAGGCGTGATGGAGGTCTTTGCCCCAGCTGCTCCAATGCGAGAAAGGAGGTCTTGGAGGTGAAAGGGCTCAACGGGCGTCTCGCTTCCATCCGTGCTTACAGTCCTCAGAGTATCGCTCGATCGGCGTGGCTGTCCTTGAGACTCCCTCTCCACTCGTAATGCATGGAGACGATCCGGTGTAAGAAGCTCATCGACCTCTACTTTACGGAAGAATTGTCCGGTGAGGATGTCGGCTACGTCTTCTCCCAGCTGCCATCGGGCAGACTTCTTGGATCTCATCTTGACCCGTTTTGATTTCTTTGACTTTTTTCTCCTCGGCTTCGAAGCATCTGAGACCGAGGTGCTCAGCGATGGAGGAGGCAGCGCAGGGGTGCTGTTTCGAGACTGTAGACCCAGCAGTGGAAGGCTTGGTGAGTCAGGCTTCGCCATGTTAGGGGGAGTTGGTGATGTCGACCCGGAGCCCGTCTCGATATGTGACGGGAAAGTTGAAACGGCCATCTTCGCTTCTTCGATTGCTGTTCCAACAGCCTTGAAGGCTTCATCGGTTTCTCTGATGAGCTGCTGGACATTGAGGGACCAGCGGTCCAAGCCGTCGTCTTCTGGGGTAGGTGGAGGGGTCATGGTCTCTCTGAGCGCGGGGTGTTCTGATAGATCTATGTCGCCAGCTTCTTGAGCCTTGATGACCGCTTCTGTCGACAGTGGTCTGAGCTTTCTGCTAGGAGGTGGTGATAGAGGGGAAATGCAGAGGTGTCGACGTTCGGCGAGACGTTTCGGAGCCGTCGATCGAGAGGGCCTCTCTTGGAGTCGAGGGGAACAAAGAGTGCCATAGCTGGTGTTGGTCGAGGCTGTGTCTGTATAACACTCGCAACTGCACAAAGAACTCAACGACGAATGTGGTGATCCCTGTGGGCAAGATGGCCCCTCTGTCGGTATCCTCTTGATGCTTTGTGTTCTCCGTACGAGGCTCTCCTCCCTCGATGGTCTTCTGGGCTTGGGGTTGGATGGACGCCTGATTGGCGCCCAAGACTTTGATTTTTGTGGTTTCCTTCGAGACTTGAACAGTGAAATATCCTCGCTTCCGACAGAGTCTCCGGAATGACGGCGCTCATCTATCGTCTGAGAGCGGCGAGGTGAGATAAGCCTCCGTATGCTAAAGCTCGACCGAGACATCCTGTCGAATACTTGGGCGTACAAAGGGAATTCATGCAGCAGTTCAAGAACAGTATGGGTTCACCACGTCTAGTACATGCCATATATGATAATACGAAAGGGGAGGGGAGGGGATGGAATATCTTGCAGTCCTTAACGAGTGACGTGACTGGGAAGGAGATCCATGACCGGGGGAATGAGCCCAAGGACAAAGGGGAAAGGAATAATGGATGCCATCTGGAGACATGGGTAGAGACCGAGGACTGGCTTGTATGTATGTTCTTCTGGATCTGCGCGTAGGACAAACAAAAGCAAGCGAGTCGGGGCCATCTTGGACCAGCTGATTATTGTGCCCGTACCCAATACAGTACCTATCATGGTCGGATTGGGGGTGTTAGTCAGGGAGACTATCAGCTTGGGATGGGCAGATCTACTTACCCATGGACAATGACAGGTGGAGGGTGGTAATGGAAGTGGTCGTGTGTGTGTGTGTGTGGTGCGGTGCGGTGCTGTGTATGCATGTTGCGGCGGTGCAAAAAGCCAACCTGGCCCCTGTCTGGTCGTGCAGGCAAACTGCGTGAGAGCGGAGGCTGCAGAGTCGTGTCTTGTCAGTCCGGCCGGGGGTTGCTCGCTGCCCGGCTCCCGTTATTTTGGTATTCAGCCATTGGCTGTGTCTGTCGGTTGCTATTACTGGCCTTTATGACTTTCAAAAGTACAATTATTCTCGAGGGGGGGCGGAAGACTTCTCCGGAGGGATCTTGGGGTGGTAGGCGGCCCCAAGTGGAGGGTGGCATCGCATCTGTTCATCGCCGGCCCTTCCAGCGTGAGATATGTGATTGTTGCGAACAAATGAATCCATATTGCTTTGCTGTTATGTTTGGAACACCTTGTCGCCCTCTTCAATCTCGTCTTCCTTGTTTCTCTCCCCAGTCCCATCGAGCATCGTGCAGTCAGCCTTATGAAGTGATTGACAGCGAAGCCATCGAGACAATATGGAACATCGTGGCCGGCGCAGAGCGCGGGATTCAGCAGGATTCGCTCCATCTTACTATTGGAGCTGGTCGTCGTACTAAACGACAAACCATCGGTCAGCTGCATTCTAGAGCGAGATGCAACTCGATAAAAGTCCTCGCCGTACGACGACGCGGGCGGCGACGTGCAGAGAGGAGCAACCAGTTGGATCTAATCCGGCCCGTCACCCTGGCACCTACTTGCCAGCCACGACCGAGGGTCTTGCGAAAGCTCGAAAGTAACGAAAGTAGGAGAAATACCTAGCAAGCTGTTCAACGTCCCGACAAGGAAAACGGCTGGTGCCCAGAGAGCACGACATATTGCCAGCGGAAAACGTCGAAACGGTGACAGCTCGCTCCCAGGAAAGCCATGGAACCGGGCCGTGCCCTGCTCGCCTGGGGCAGCTGGGGTTGACCGGCCATGCCGCAATCTCGAGAATGAAAAGTCGGTGGTTGCCAGCGAACTGCTGACCGATGACGATCTTCCAGATGGATGTCCTCAAGTGCCGAGTCTCACCTCACTATCACCGACCGGCGACCGGTAAGCACTTGCTTGGCCGCAGTTGAGACAGCAGCGACTCGCTGCTTCCAACGAGTGACTATTCCCGTAGGTGTCTTCCAAGTTGGTGTGGGCAGCGCAGCCCTCTAGGACAAGCTGCAGGAAATCAGTGCCTCGTCGAGGGGCCCTGAACCCGAATAATCCAGATTCCAGGTAGGGAACTGACGGGGCAAGGCAATCCCCAGGCTCGCCAGTGTCAATCATTCGGCATTACCCGCGTCCACCGGACGCAGGCCGAGAAGATGCAGAGCCTCTAGTACCGAACGAGGGGTACGACGCGAATCGATACTGCCGGGGGATACGACTCGGAACTTGGAAGATGGAGACATTGGCCTCCAGGCCACGTTCTCCTGCGTAATTCCGCTGACGCGATGTGGGAATGGGTGAGTATTGAGAGGGGCTTGTTTCAGGAACAGCATGCGTTCGAAGAAAGGAAGAGAATCTTCACCCATCACAGGCTGAGATGGGCTTTGTGGATGTCCTCGAGTCTGCAGAGTCTTCTCATGCGCCGTTTGTTAGTCAGACAAGCCAAGCGGGCGTGACCAAGCTGACGAGGGGGCTGAAGACTGCTTCTCTTAGTCTTTCCCCATCTTCTTCCCCGGCGGCCGTAAACGGGCAAGCACAATATCGACCGGTGACGTCCATTGTACATGGCAAGTTCATGTTGGTTGGCTGGCTCGCCGGCCAAGGCGGTGATGAAGAAGCAAAGCGTTCGTGTTCGATACCGCCCAGTGCCCAACACAGCTGATTTGTGGTGGCTAAGTTGTGCGGTTGCTAACCACCTTACCAAGGTTCAGATGCGTTGCGGATAAGTTGGGCATGGGCTCTTAGCGGCCGCTCATAAGGTAGAGTGCCCCCACTGTTGCCCGCCAGCTGACATCCAAACTGAGTTGAACTTGCCAGGGCGCCCTGCTCTCTCTATCTATCTTTCTGGTCCCTGACATGCTGGTAAACACCCACGCACAACACAAACACCAGAGACACGGCGTGACAGAGACAAGAGACACAGAGACACTATTAACCTTCCTGGCCCTTGCAGGATCTCATATTTGTGCCCTGAACTAGCAGCTCGGTTTGGGGGCCGCGGCGCCTGCGGAGGGCTGCCGTTGGTCTTGGATCCTTCAAGCTGTTGTTGGAAAACCTGGCTGTTCTGAGAAGAATCGGGCGAGCCAACTGCTCATTCCCACTCTCGTCAACCAACCAGCATGACCGCTCCAAACAAAGAAAACGTTTGCTCTTTTCTTCTGCCCTTTTCAAGGCCACTGAACGGCCCATAGGCCATGTCTTACTTGACTTCTGCTGTCTCCCCCAGGCGCGATTGCCGCACAACTTCCACCCCCCAATCACTCTGCTCAATTCTTCATTCTTTGACTTCTTTTCTGGGAAAACAGGCTTTGGTTGACCTTGCCGATAAGACCGTTGAGAGTCAGGAACCGAGTAATACACCTAAACTCTACCAGGCCAGGGCCAAGACAAGACAGCCTTAGAAGGCTAGCCGTTCTATTTCCGACCTCACGAATGGCACCTTGGGCCGGCAAGCTTCTGCCCTCCTGCTGCGAAAAAAAACTCCCCTGTCCTTCTAAACCCCCTGCCATCCGCCCGTCCGCGTTGCATTGAATGTCCCTCGAGGTTGGCGGTTCGCATTACACTTACAGTCGGAGCTGAGACATCGTGGTTCGTTCTCTCCAGCTTTTCCGAGGCAGGCTTGCTTTTTCCTTTCGAGTCTTTTTCTATTTCATGTAGAAAAGCTGTCGGTCTCGGTGATTTCTGGCCCCATGTCCTCCACCCTGGCTGGTAAACCCCATATCTATTGTCTGTCGCCCCGTCCGTATCTTCCATGGATTTCCCTTGATGCTCTTGCTGTTCAGTGCGTGTGGCCCATGGAGAGTCCATACGGACGTAAACACGCACAAAGCCCCAACTTGGCATCGATGATTCGATTATGCTCAGCAGCTCAGGACACTCTCCAGTCTTTGGGTTTACCTCCTAGATCCGATCCTGCCGAGAAAAGGTCCGCAATGGAAGTAATAGAATGATTCTTAAGGGTGGAGACTGCATACGGACGTACAGTATTACAGATCGACGCGCGCAAGAGCACGATGAGGTCCGTCAGCGGCGGGAGAGAGGGTCTGCATTTGCACAATGCCAATTTAATGTACGATTCATATCAGATCCTCGTCTTTCGGCCGGTCAGCGTCGGATTCGCGAGCCGCTGCCAAATCTGGCTCTTCAGTTGAGTTGTTACAAGCAAATACGGGCGGCATGTCAGCACGGGAAAAGAGAGTCACATTGGAAGGGTTTTGATGTAAAAAGTGTTGGGTATTAATCTGATTGGCTCGGGCTGCCGAGTCCAAATCTTGCTATTAGTTGCGCGATGTCGCATTGCTAGCATCTCATCCTTCTAACCTCATCCCGATTCTGCGGCCCTTGTGTTGGCCTTTTAGATCTGGTGAGTGATGATTCCTTGTACAAAAGAGAATGTAGGCTCATTTCGTGGCCTATTCCTGGACGTCTTCAAACCGCCAAAAACTTTCTATCCTTGCCAAGTGGCAAAAAGCGAGCAAGCGCCGTTGATAATGACTGCATGAGACTGCGTCGATGATCATTCGAAATAGGAATGATTGAGTAAATGATGTTTGACTCAAGGGAAGAAGATGTTAGTGAGATGGTATAGTCTACCATCTCGATGGAATCTTTGGAACGTCGTAGTCTGACGACATTGGGCCTCTTGGAGTAGGCCGAGCCGAAGAATGGTAACTTTCCGGGTATCGAATGTTGTATTTTTTTGGAGTTTTTGTTTTTTGTTTGATCGGGTATCCGAGATCGGTGATTATTCACATAATCTCGCTTTGCTTGCGAATCTCCTTGGAGGTAGTCGTCTTCATGAACGACTTGGCCGCGTGGCGAGGCACGTAAGCGGCCTGCTTCGGCTGGTCGCCCATTAGGGACTCTTGCTCCTCCATGGTGCCCATCGATGTCAGAGAGGCCAAGGACCCGCTCCGGCTGTTGGAACTCAGGCGCGAGGACAGGGAGAAAGTGGCGGACCGGGGCGAGGACGGGGCCGATGAAGAGGCAGTAGAGGAAGAAGAGGTGGAGGAGCGGCGACCGGGCTTGAAGGCATCGAGCCAGGAGCCGACGTGCTTCTTGGACCACATTGGGAATGAGTAATCGACGATTCCGAAGGATCCAGGGGTGTTCATTGAAGGGAGTTGGGAAGATGTAGTCAACAAGGACTATTGTTTGAGTTTTTTGATTGTTGGAAAAGGCGTTGAGAGCGTTGTGCTGCTGAGAACGGAAATCGAGATGGATGGGCGGGTTGGACCACGAGGTTTTAAAGACACGAGAGCAAAGAGATGAGTCTGAGATTGGTGATGGCGAACAAAAGAGCAGCCACGCGGTAGGATCGAATTGTCAGATGGACACGATAGATCAAAGCCGAAAGGATGGTGGGATTTTCGAGAGGCGTTCAAAGGAAAGTTGAGAAAAGCGCAGTAGGGAAAAATAAGATGGAGCTATAACCACCACAAGTCGAAGGATAGGATATTTAGTTCAGGACCGGTTCGCGATGGTACGTCCGCAAAAGGCAGAGGCGGGGCAGGATGCTTCCGCAAGCGGACGAGAGATATATCTACCGGGTGGGAAGAGAGAGCGGGGAGGGCGACGTGGGCAAAAAATGTGTGGCCGCTGTCAACACAGACACGCCGACTGACAACGCCCATGATGGGATCAGGAACGACAAAGATTCCAGCCAACATGCCCAAGCATGCCCCCGCGCAGTCCGCGCAGCCTCTGCGCATACCTCAGCCCGACTGAGACATCAACAAGTCCGTCGCAACGCCCCGTCAACGCCCTTGCCGTTTGCGAACAAATTCCTCACGGCCACATTTCTGCCTCGGCCGGCCCATTGTGTAAGCCCCGGCCTGCTGGGAACAGGCTTGCCAGTTCTCGCTATCCGGCTCCATGGTGGCTTGGCCGAGGGCTGGAATGCTGCGAGAGGAATGGACGTTCACTAGACACCAAGCGCGTCATGTTCTCTCAAGAGCCATCACATCCCGCAGGACAGGCCACCTGCTGCCTCTACCAAAGGCAAGAGCCACAAGGCTCCCGCGATCGATGCTGTTGGCAGCAGGCCGGCGTGAAGACCGTGGGTCAACAGCCGAGCTGTCATTCTCAAGGGAGGCGCACATGGCGTATATGCGGACTGGGAGCCAAATTCTTCAAGGAAAGGCTAGCGCTACACATTGTTCGCCCTAGCTTCGGGAATGCAGCACGGCCTATTGTCAAAGTTGACGCAAGCGGAAGGTATGCGAAAAGCCAGAGATAGCAACGAAAAACTCGAACCCGTTGCGATACCGGTACCCCTGGGAAAATTCCATGATCATTCATCTATGTGCTACGGCAGGTAGGGCAGGGCACCACGTTGCCTTGAATTACTCATCCTCATCCTGTCCCTCTTCGTCCTCATCGTCCTCGTGCGTGATGAATGGCACAAATCGGAAATCCAGAAAGCTGACTCCGCCGCCCTCCACCTCAACCATGAATTGCAAGCTCAGAACGCCTTGGGCATCGCCGCGGAAGCTAATTTTGCTAGCAATTCGCATCGCCTCGCTCGAAGACTTGATCAGATCGAATTTGTAAGTCTGGGTCCATCGATCCTGGATTGAAAAGGTCTCCAGTAGCTCGCGGCCTTTGGCAAAGTCCACGCTGGACGACCCCAGGTCGCCAGCACCGGAAAGGGAAAGGTAGGGTTGATTCTTCGAGGCTGATATGGTTAGGCGGCTGGGGCCGGTGGGTGCAAGCTCGGCCAAGGCGTCAAGAAGGTAGCGCGCCTGCATGATGATTTTGAAAGACAGGTTTTCCCGGTCAAAGGGTATCTCCTCTGGGATTTCCGGCAGATAGGTTGTGAGGCTGGCGGTAGTCTTGACCCCGCTTTCCTCGATGATAATGTTGAATTGGCCGCCCTCTTCGGTATATACCAGGCTGCAAGTCCCGCCAATTCCAAGAGTCTGGTTACTAAACGCATCTGGTCGGTAATTGCGGAGATTACTACGGTACGGGTCCTGCTCGGCCTTTTGCGTGCGCGTCGCAATGTCCACGGCGCCGAAAATCTGAAGCGTCTCGAGAAGTGCTGGAAGTGTGATTTGAAAGTTAGGCAATGGCTCGTCCTCCGCAAGATTCAGAGAGTAGGACGTAAATAGTTTCTTGTCGAGGAAGGCAGTACCTAGACGATGGTCAGTCATCCTGCCCACTACATATACTCGTCGCCAAACTTGCCTTGCATAACCCTAGACAGATCGGCAGCAAACCTGATGCCATCTTCCTGGAGTTGAACATGGACCTTGTTGGAGAAGCTGATGGTCCTCAGCAACTGGTAGAGCGGTCTCGTCGAGCTGGCCACAGCGCGGAACAGCGGCTGCGGTACCGCACTGGGTTGGGGAAGAGCAGCCGACATGACTTCTACTGACGCTGCAGAACTGTGTATTTGGAAAGTCACCCGATATGGAGAGATTGGTGAAATGAAAGTTCTTGGTTGTTTTCTAAAGTACAAGGTCGCCGCCGACTCGAAAAGCTTCTTGGGGTATCTTAGACGTAGACTCCGACCGCGCAGAACATGTAAACCGTGCCGAATCTAAGTGCGATATTAGTACAGGATCTCGACTGGGGAATGAAGGCCGTCTGGCTTACGCAATTGCAGCTGAGGCAGGCACGCCAAGCGCTGGGATGTTGATGAGGGAACGGTCTGCATTGAAAGATTAGGCGATGAATTTCGAATGAATGTTCTCGAACAGAGCTTACTCAGAGCGAAGAAACCAGTGATAGCAACGCCAATGAGGAGAAGAAGGAACGCAATGAAGAATTGGGAATCCTTGGCGACAGCGGGTTGGAACGGCGTGCTAGCAGCAGCTTGCCAGACCTCAAGCAACGAGGAGTCCATCTGCTAATCGGGGAGAAGACAATTGATTGTTCTTTCGTGTCTGAGTCGTTTGCGTCGATGTCGCAGAAGGTGGTCCGGACCGTTGAACAGGGCTTGCACAGAGTCGTGAATGTCCAGATGTATCCGGAGAGTGCTGTCAATGGGAGATCATGAAGCGCGGGTTGTAGCTTCCCCCAAACGTGTTCTGAGCTCCAAAGGGTCCCACCGTGAATTGTGGCCTGAACCAGAAAGGGCTTAGCTCCATCCCACTTTCCCCTTGTGCATAGACCCACTTGGCGCCATCCGGCAACGGAGAAACGGCAGGGCCTAGCGCGGCATGTCATCAACCGTCCAGGAACCACCTCGACATCATCCATCGACAAGGTTCATCGAAATAGGCCTGCGAAGGCTCGCGATCGAGGTCAAAATGAAGGAAGAGAGTAAGTCGCATGGTCGCTATTCAACATGTAGCCTCAGGCACGTGCTAACATCGCGTCACAGCCACGAAGCGCAAGGCTGAGGAGGAGCCATCCTCTCCGATCGCGAATAAACGGGTCAAGCACAATGAGTCGGCCGAACCAGAAAAGAAGCCGGCGATGAAGCCCATCCCCTTCCCCGAAAAGGTGAGTTCTACTCCTCAAACTGCGTCGCGACCATCGCGCGGTTGATGCCCGCTACGCGCTCTCCTTGCGCGTCCTCCACCTAGATCCGCCGAAGCTGACCATGATTTGCGACAGCCCGCCGTCATCGAAGAGCGCACCGGCGAGATCGAGTTCCGGGTAGTCAACAACGACAACGAGCGCGAATCCCTCATCATCCTCACCGGCCTCAAATGCATCTTCCAAAAGCAGCTCCCCAAAATGCCGAAAGACTACATCGCGCGACTCGTCTACGACCGGACCCACTTGTCCATCGCGATCGTCAAGAAGCCCCTCGAGGTCGTCGGTGGCATCACCTACCGCCCCTTCAAGGGCCGCCAGTTCGCCGAAATCGTCTTCTGCGCCATTAGTTCTGATCAGCAGGTTAAGGGATACGGCGCGCATCTCATGTCCCACTTGAAGGACTATGTCAAGGCGACCAGCGACGTGATGCACTTCCTCACGTATGCCGACAATTATGCCATTGGATACTTCAAAAAGCAAGGTTTCACCAAAGAGATCACGCTGGATAAGAGCGTATGGATGGGTTACATCAAGGATTACGAGGGCGGTACGATCATGCAGTGTTCAATGCTGCCCCGCATCCGGTATCTCGAAATGGGTCGCATGCTCTTGAAGCAAAAAGAGTGCGTCCAGGCAAAGATCCGCGCCTACTCGAAATCGCACATTGTCCATGCTCCGCCAAAAGAATGGAAGTCTGGCGCCAAGCCAATCGACCCGCTCACCATCAGCGCCATCCGCGCATCAGGCTGGTCGCCCGATATGGACGAGCTTGCCCGCCAGCCCCGCCATGGTCCCAACTACAACCAGCTTCTCCACCTCCTCAACGACCTGCAGAACCACCAGTCAGCCTGGCCCTTCCTCGTGCCCGTCAACAAGGACGACGTCGCCGATTACTACGAAGTTATCAAGGAACCCATGGATCTTAGTACGATGGAGACCAAACTCGAAGCAGATCAGTACGCCACGCCAGAGGACTTTATCAGGGATGCCAAGCTCGTCTTCGACAACTGTCGCAAGTACAATAACGAGTCTACGCCGTATGCGAAGAGCGCCAATAAGTTGGAGAAGTACATGTGGCAGCAGATCAAGGCCATCCCCGAATGGTCTCACCTCGAGCCGTAGAAGGGCTCGATGAGACCCGGGAAGGGCGATCCAAGGCATGTGACGCCGCAGCAAGAAACCCCAAAGGTTACCGAAAATCCTTCGGGGGGGTTGAGGCGGCGGTCGCATAGGGTGCGTCGTGTGTCGTAGGGCTTGGTTGGTCACGAAGTAAGTGCAACGAAAAGAAAAACATTGGGCTGGGATGGGTTTGCAGGTTCAAGGAGTTGGCGTTGGGTGGCGACTGTAATTTTCTCTACTTGATAAGGGACTATCAGATAGAGCTTTCCGGAAGATTACCAGCAGTGTGCTTCTAGTCAGGTCGGGTCGTGGCGTTCGGGAAAGGCCGCGAGGCTACTATGTCGAGCCAACGACTGAATTGAGTTATTTTACCAAAAGCCGCATCCCTTAATCGCATCTGAATCATCTCCACGAGCATGAGACTTTTACTGACATGGCACGTTGGACACGTAGGCAGGTAATTGAGCAGGGTTATCGCCAAAAGTAGCACTTTTATAACTAAGGTCTCTTAGCTAGATACAAACGGCCTCCCTGGAAGCGGGCCTCGAAATGCAGAGAGTTCTCGTTTCCTCATAATTTCTTGTGCTCGCTCATCCAATCCCTTGCAATCCCACAGAAGCATAAGAGCAATCCTTCCAACGCCGTATGGGGGAATAACCGAGTGATGTGTAGTGGGTTGTCGCCTTGTTGGGGCGATCCTCCCTTTGCCCAAAGACTCAAGGAACTCTAGTATTGAAAAATTTGAATCAGACTAAAGAAATCGCCTCTTCGACTGAAGATGTGGGTTGAGGCGTTTGAAGAAATCCAGCGGTATACCCGTAGCTGTGATCACGGAAATCTCAGGTCTTCTCCGGTCGACAACGGGGCCCAGTTCCATATTTGGCTCCAGGTGCTTGGGTCGGAGTATACGAAAGTTGAAGGGTAAGGGCTGGCCCATAAAGCATGGTAAGCGTCGACATCAAACTCGCCGGTCAGCGGGTTTATGATCGGTCGATCTATTGTCGGTTGACGTCTGGTGGGCAACATAATCTCATGCACAGTTCGAGATAGCTCTTCCCCGGTTATCACATTCGTTTGGTCAACGAATGTTTCAGGCCCACGAGAGGGAACTTCAGGCGCCGAAACTTCCTAGGCCCCGGGTGCCTGTGCCGTCCTCTGCAAATTTGGGCTAGCTGCGCTGTCGCCGACAGGGAGTCGCAGATCCGAATATGTACGTCTCCAGTTTGAGATTCCGCCAATGTGATGTTCGTCAGTGCCTCTGCGTTCCCGTGCCGCATTGCGACTTGAAATAGAGGGCAAGCGAGGAGGTGCTGCAGTCTCCTCGCCACTGCTCGAGTTCTGGTTCTCAAGCGTACGGCGGATAATGTCGTGGAGGAAGTCGGGTATATCTTGCCACTGACCAGCGCGGGCAGCGCTCAGCATGCGAGGGGGGAAGAGTGCTTGCGGCACAACTGCAACGGCTGCCGGATCGGCTCTCGATGGTGAGATGTCGTCGTTTGAGAGATATGGCAGCTCGCCACTCTCAATAACGTTCTTTAACCACTGTTCCCATTCCTCGTCCAAGACCGTAGACATGTCTCCAGCCTCTCGTCGTGCTGCCCTCTCTCTCAATCGCTGGTTCAGAGCAACACCGACGCTCTCGAGTTCCTCGTCACTCTCTTCACCGTCCATGTCCTCGTCTCCAGGATCAGTGGCATCATCTGTATCGACAGACCTTGATCGAGGGTTTCGAACCGGGGCCGCTGGACGATCTTCCGGCTCGATCCAGTCAGGGAATCCATCGCCGGCAGTATCTCTAATGGAGATGCCTTGCTCCTTCTCGTAGCGCTCCTTGGCCCATCTTGTGCCCTCCCATTTGGTAAGGCCCGCGATCTCGTTAGGGGTCAGATGGAGGTTGTCAAACGCTCGGAATAAGCGGCGGTGCCAGGTCCAACGACTCAGACGGATACGGTGGATGGGGTTGCAGTAATCCAAGCCCGGGTACTTGGCTTCTTGGGTGTCGAGATGGCCGTAGAAGGAGTGAACCTCTTGACGAACTTCCAAAATCAGGCTGCGCTGCAAGAGAGCATGGAAATTTTGAGGGTCGCTCGCGCGAGGCTTGGGAAACATGTGCTCGTAAACGAGCTGGTCGATAGGGCGTCCCTTCATTTTGGGGATCGGCTGGAAAGAGTGGGATTTGCAGCTGAGTTTGGCGCAATAGTTGTGCAGTCGGGTGGTATCTTCGTAGCAGCCCGCAACGGAGAGGACAAGCGTTGGTGACGCCGCCTCTGTACTGTGCTCTTGGTCCGCTCACAGATTGCCTGTGGAAGGTGGGAACTGATATGCGGCTGTGGAAGAAGTCGAGGGGTCTTCGTCAAGGCCGGTGGAGGGGAAGTCGTAAAATTTGCCGTCGACCGGTTTATTGAATCGTACGTCACGGTCAGGGAAAGAGGGGGGTTCGGGAAGGAGCTAGGGGCCGATCTGTTGCTGTGTCGTCTGAAGAAGGGAGTTCAAAAGGTGAAGCGGTCTGCGCTTGAACGTAGGTTGTTGTTGTTGTCGTATTGGCGTGAAGAATGTTGGGGACAAATTTCTTTTCCAACGAAGGGCAGTCGAAAAAGAGAAGAAACCGTGAATACGGGAGAGTGTGAACGGGAAGAAGTCGGAAGTCAGCGGCGAGAGGCGGGTAGGGTGGGAGGGCGAGGCAGGCGAGGCGAGGGCGTGTTGCGTGAGCGTTGGTGAGTTGTAATGGGGAATCCAGGTGCAGGGTGTGGATATTTGATCGTGGGGCCTTTGGAGTGGGACGTGGACGTGGGACGGGGATTCAGGCGCGGGCTCCTTCAAAAGAAGGTGCGAAGACGAAGTACGTATAGAGTACCCCAACCTTGAGGTAAATAAAAAATAATGACTGAGATGGTGCCCTTTCCCCGGGCACGTCTGCTAGGTAAGGTGTGTGAGGTGTGTGCAGCGGCGACTGCGGCGACTGCGGTTGGAGTGTCAAAGGAGGGAAGGAAAAAAGAAAAAACTAAGACTGGCACTGGAGAGCTGGGATTGGGACTGGAAGACTGGACTGTGGTGGACGGGGAATGCCTTGGCTGACAAAAATAAAACAGGAGGCACCACCCATCTTCATCCCCTTCCCATCCTTCAAGAAAAACAACCTATCTGATAAATGACCAGTACCTTCCATGGTACCTTGAGGTAGGTATCTCGAATCGAGGGTTCCCATCTCTTGATATTACTGGACCGTGCTAAGATTTTGGTGCCTGCTTCATATGCTACGCCTCATGGTCCGTAGCGCCTTCTCACCGTGCCTACCGCAATGCACCTTGCCTTATTCTCACGTACATGGCCCGAAATGGTAGCTCAGCGAAGGAACTGTCTGCACGCACGTACCTTTTATGGCTGGCAGCTTCCTATGATTGACTTTCTTGAGATCACATTAGGGATACCCTCAGACGTTGGATTCTTGAGGTTCACGGGCAGTCTTGCAAGGTCCCCATCCCAAATCCTAAATGTCAATATGTCGGGCCAAATCGCGGACTTTGAGCCTTTGAGATAAAATAGCCCCGCACTTCCATTCTCTCAGGTCTGTCACTGCTGTGCCCGGTACTTGGACCCCTAAGGTATCTTTCCTCCCGCCGCTTCGCTCGAGGTACCTCCACCGAACCACGGGTAAGCCAAGGTATATTTCCTTCTTCGGACTGAACATGCCGGAGCAAACTACGGATACTAGTACACTGCAATACCTACCGGTAGTACTCTACTTTGTACGTGACTACGACAGCACAACAATGGTCATCACTGATTCGTTCTACACTTTTCCAAAGTCCATTGGTCGTGCAGGGCCTGGAACACGCGATCGTCGACCTCGATTCCGCCGTTGGGATGGTGGGCGCCTCGTTTTCTCGCAACCGGTCCTGCGTCTCTCAAGTTTCATACTGTCGCTTTTTCTACCTACGTAGTACACTACCGGTAGAGATGACGGACTTTGGATTTGGGGAGTTAAAACAAGGCAAATCGGCCGTTCTGCCTCCCTGGGTCTGTCAACAACCATCAGCTGTCGGACAGGGGCAACCCGAGTCATTTTCCATCACACGCTTGAGCGACAATCCTTGGCCTATGACATCCGCATCGAGCCAACTCGTCGCTCAGCCCGGGAAACCGCAACATGACGGACCGAAATGGCGAACCCGGACATCACGGGTGCCTTCCATGTTCTACACTAGAGCGACTGACAAAAGGTCGCTCATCTGCTTCCTGAGGTGCATAGGCTTCATCACTTCCCCCCTCACAAAAAACCCCTCGCTGCATCACCACATCCTGCAGGGATTGAGGCCACCAAGAGGCCAGATTCAGGCCACGACGAAGACCTGCCGGACCTGACACAGGAGAAACCCGAGCCAACGGCGCGCTTCTTCGGCTGTCCTTCGCAAACACACACTCTTCCACTCCGCGATGGCCTGCGCACTTTGAACTTGCCATCAGCCTCCTTGTAATACCGCTTGCCCTATGGCCGCAAACCCCTCCGGCCATGGGCTCATCTGACCTCGACTGACCGCCTCGACTACACAGACCCAACAGCCGCCTTACAAGCCCGTCCCCTACCGTCTCAGGAACAGGGGTCCTTTTCATCGCAGCCAATCACCTTTCCAAACCCTCCCATCCCTGCGGTCATCCCGCCCTTCCCTGCCTCCGCTTCATGCATCTACGCCAAAATCTTCTCCTTCGCCCCATTCACTGCCATCCGCAATCTCACTGGTTCCATTCTTCTTCTTCAACGACCCTCAAGGCTTGGACCTCAGCCTGCTCGGTGCAGAAGGTGAGGGAAAAAAGCATAGGTGCCTTCCGGAGTCGCTGAGAATCTGCATCGTATTATCTCCGTCAAAAACCGTATCGTCGAACGGGTCCCGTTCGGCTGCATGTCACTCCCGAAGGATGCATGACGCTACATCTCCGAACGGGTTGCCGCTTTTTGGCGGAGCTTGTCGTTGCAAATAATTCTTTTCGGGTCCGTCTAAGCCTCACAATATCAGACTGGTTCAAGACCCAATATCTCAGCATCGGGAGTGTATTCAAACGCTGCTTCTGTCCTATTAGTCTCAAGCGGCCCAAAGCTTAGTTCAAGCACAAACCTGCAAACCTACAACCACCAACCACTACTCCGCACACCCACACCGATACTGCCGTGGCAATTGGCAGATCCCTTGGTTGTGGAATGCTTTCAATTCTGCCCCACACATGTTTTGTTGCGTAAGGCAGCTTCATCGGAACTTTGAGCGGGGGAGCAGACGACATCTAGAAAGCAGAACCCAATGGTGTGGCGAGGAAACCTCGTGATCGCTAAAGTGCCGGCCTCTCTCCATCTTAACTTTGTCGGCCGCGAACCGTAAGCTTTTCCGTGCAAGTTTCGCATCAGACGCGACAGGGCTTGCACCCATGGCTTCCACTGGCTTATGAACATGGCGCGCTGTTCATAGCTCAGCTCTGAATATGTGTCTGCGTAAGGTAATCATGGCTGTGGCTGGCTGACAGGTCAGCTTAGCCCAGTCTCACGTAGCAAGGGCGCTGTCATATAAGACAAGCTCTCTTTTGGTGTGTACTCATGGTGACGGCGTCCCTCTTGACATGCTGCAAGCAGTTGGTTTAGTATCGCATTTCCTATTTTGGTCATGGTTCTACTAGCCTGGAACACATCCACACCAAGACTATGGAGCAAAATCGTTGCTGTGCATATCACTCATGACCTGAGCAATCAAGTAGATTGAGATGCTTGATATTTTGTGTGACTATAGTACGACCCATCCTATCCTATGGCTACTGCGGTTGAAGCGTACATATCCATTAAATCAAATAAACAAGCGATGAAGGAAGGCTTACCGGTCTTTCTGTCCTCTTTTGTTGATTCACTTCCCGCCAAGTAAGAACGGCATCTCTACGTCTCCTCCTTGAGGGGGGCAAGCACTTTTCCAGGAAGAAGTCAACGGGTGACAGATTTTGAGTCTCAGTAGTCCAAGTGGCTTCGTGCCACTGTCTCTCCTGGAGGGTGTCTCGATAAATAGAGTTGTGAACCATCGATTCAAGCCTATACTATACCCTCGGGACTGATACTGCTTAGCTAGCAATGATCATATGAACGAACCTTTAGGGTCAAAGGAGAAAGAAAAGAAATACAGATATTGATGTGAGTCTGGGGGCTGATGATGTTAAGCTGGCTTCTGTTGAAAGTGACTGGAGTTGTGGATCCGATGCCTTGTTCAGACCAGTCCTACGTGGTACTGATATATCAAAGAGAACAATACATTTGTATTCGATAGGTATCTGGGTTCAAGTACAGTAGAAGGCTGGGTAGTAAAGAATGATGGGGAAGTCGAATAGTGAGAAGGGGGGAAATTATAGACGAGCCCAATTAGCGTCTCTTTTGCGCTCAGCTCCGAGCCCAAAAGCATCATATAAATAAGACCCCTTTCAACTCTTGTCTCTTCTCCCAGCCAAGGCGAAGTGACCTGTCAGAATTCTCCTGCGGATGAGGGGCAGGGTGAGATTGGAGTATGGGTTGGAGGAATCTCGTTCAAGACTCCCAAGGTTTTGTTGTGTTGACCTTCCTTTTCATGTCGAGGGCGATGTGTTGTCCAGAGCTGGCCGGAGACTGTCGAGCGTCTTCTGCGGATGCTTCATTATTGAATACACAGGTGATAGCGGTCAGAAACGAACGATATCTCCTCGGAATTTACCTTGGCGAAAGATCCTGGCGGTTGGGTTGGTGGGATGATGATACTGCAAGTCATCTTGTGCCATCCGACAGAGGGATTCGACTGTCGGTCTGTGAGTTTCGCACCCACACAGTGACCGAAGACCTCAGCGGGCTGGAGACTGCTAGCGAGGTGCAATCCCATGCGCGGAGAGCGGTTCTAAATAGGCGATTCTGGAGGTACGTTAGAAGTCCTCTTTTGGGGTGAGCCACCTTCCACAGCTAGGTTGTCCTACAACTCTCAGAATAGCCGTTTTCACAGGCTGATTTTCCAGGGGTATTTGATAACTGAAAGCAGCGGGAGTCCCGTCAAAGTGATTGTATCTAGAAGACTACTAGCATGCGAAGTCACGATAATTTGGCTTAAGAAGTACTGTATTCCTAATGAATGGCCAACTCAGCACATTGTCTCTGTAATATATATAGTCTAGTCATCGGCCCTTAGGGGCTCCGAGTAACTCGTCATGTCTTCATTGTCAACCAACTGAATCCCCTTGAAGCTCCCGTCATCGCTTTCATCATCTTCTTCCTCTTGAACAGGAACGGGAAAGGTCTTGGGCCTGATTGGCAGTTCTGGACGGCGGTGCGAATCTATAGCACCATCGCTCTGGAACGAGTGGACGGCAGAAGGCCTGGGAGGAAGCTCTGGTTCTTTGCCCGGCTGACTTGGGTCATTTTCGACAGCAGTAGGAACTGGGTCTTCCTTCTTTGCCCCCAGAGCACTGAGGTTCAGGGGATCAGCAGGCCGAGCGCTTCTCGACTCCTGTTTCTCAGCAGGTGGAGAGCCTAGACTACGGAGCTCCTCGTGGTGAGGCGACCGCGGTCCCTGCTTTGCCTGGCCAAGACTTTTCAAGTTCAAGGGGTCCCCGCCACCGCCTCCCAGAGGGTCGAAAGACCCCGAAACGGCTGCACCACCAGATCTAGAGACCTTGTTCCGGTTCGGGTTCTTCTTCTTCTTCTGTTCAGGCGGGTCAGGATGTAACGGGTGACGCAGCTCGTTCGGGAACCTGGCAGTCTGCTTGGATCTGATCGGCTGCGGCTCCGACTGCGGATCGGGTTGCGCCTCGAGCTGGATAAGCTCGCCCATCTGCGAACCCGCCTCCTCATCCGTAATCTTGATATCGAGGTCTTCGTCCTTTTCTATGACGCCCTCGCCGCCCTTGACATTCGGAAATCCGCATCGTGTCAAGATCTTGGCGATCAGGCTCGGGTAGCGGAGGTGCCCGCTGACTTCTGCGCTCAGGTTCAGGTTCTCGACTCTCTCAATGTCCTTGACTTCCTGGAGACCCGCGATGCCTAGCTGGAGAGAGGTGGTGCGGTATAAGAACCCGAGAATGTAGTCCGTTTCCGAGTACACGTTGACGATGCGACCCGATACCACGGACCGTAGGACCTGCCAGTGTTCCCGGTTGGACGGCACGGGGGCGCCGATGAGCACCACAGTATCGACGAGCCCAAAAGCCTGACGCTCAGCGAGTGATCGCAGACAAGAGTAGATGACGCGAGCGCCGAGCGAATATCCGACCAGAGTCACGGGTCTTTCTCCCTGAACCTTGGCGATGAGAGCATCAGCGAGAACGCGACCGGCTTTGTCCGAACGGTTGCGGGCCAGGTTGAAGGGGTTGTCAATCTTTGAAGCGGCGCTGATTAGGTAGGCGGGCCACAGAGCAGCCCAGAGCGAAGCAAGGACAGTGCGCTTGAGGATCTCAATCTTTACATAGTTCCACGCGTACGACGAGACGAGACCCTCGAGCTCAGCACCGAGGGCGAGAAGTGACTTCATCTCGTAGCGCAGGGCGAAGACTTCCGACTCATCTCCTAAGCTGCGCCAAGGCTTCGTCACGTCGCCCTCGTCATTCAGCCAGCCGTTGATGCCGATTGTCACGCGGAGGCGGGCGCCCTGCTTGCCGTCCGGGTCGGCACGTTTATAGTCCTGGCCCCATTCGTCCTTGAGCGGGAGGAAGCGGAAGTCTTCCACCTCCTTGGCGTAGGTATCCATCATCTCGCCCGTCATCTTGGCCCCGAACGCGCCAAAGAGAGTCCCTACCAGCGCGCCGTTCATCCAAAAGATGCCGAGGAAGCTCGCGACGCCTCCCAGGCCGACGCTGCCCATGATACCGCCGATTGCGCCAGCGACCACGGGAGCCGCGAGACCACCCGTGATGCCGATGACTGCGGCGCCTGCCACGGACGCCAGACCGACTTTCCAGAAGCGGCTCTTTTGGTTCTCCTGTCGTCGCTTCGCGGCCTCGGCCTCGGCGGACATGGTGGCCTTTTGGCCCTCGGAAGAGGTCGCTGATTCAACCAGAGACTTTGCGATTTCCGTCTCCTCGGCGATGAGGGCCGAGAGAGGCAGGCCGAAGGCGGACGTGAGATAAAGTGCCAAGACTCTGGAGTGTGCTGAGTAGCAGCCAGTAGACAGAACGAGAACCAAGAGGCAGCTTAGCACCTCTTTCCTATCATTCACCGGGATTGTGGTGAACCGGCTTGGGATGGGATGGTAGTGCTCCTGCAGTGCGGCCACCTCCTCATCGACCTTGTTCGCTGCTGGAGAAGAAGAAGCCTGAGACGCATCGCCAAAGTTGATCAAATCCTCTCCGACGCCGGGAGACTCTGCGTTCAGCTTCTCCTGCTCATCTAAGCGCTTCTTCCTAGCTTCGAGGATCTTGTCATCGTCCTTAACCGATGCAATCTCCTTGACCTTTTCGAGGACCTCCTTTCGCCACCCGTCAAAGTGCTTCAGCGCCGCCCTCCTCAGGGCCCGCAGCTGAGCGCTGTGCACGCCGGAACCGCCGCGGTCCGGGTGGCTGGGGCTGCTGCTGCGTCCGTCGTCGCGGTCCGGGACGAAGAGCGGGGCGTTCCTATCCTGGAGTGACGGCGAGGCCGGATTGCCGCCGGGGTCTGCCGCTTGATCGCCGTCTTTGAGCTCGAGCTGCGAGCGCATGTAGCCCGTGATATCGAAGAGGAGGGTGTAGAAGGCTTTGCGGCGAGCCGGGTTGAGGACCACCACGAGCTGGCGGGGGTCTGCGGCCAGGGGAGCCATAATTGCGATGGTCTCACCGCATCCAATGAGACTTATTGATGGGGAGGTGACCGGATTAGAGAGGTGTGCTCTGGTATCAAACAACAATCTTGAGGAACAATAAGTCGAGGTAAGAGGCGGGTAAGATGTAAAACCAAGGACACGTGAGAAAAGATGTAGTTGAGTCACTCGAGGTGAGGAGAATGTGCACTAGGTGTCGAGTTGATCTGAAGTTAGGCAGACGTCTATCGGAAAGATCAACAGGGACTCTCAGCTGCCTGTGCCGCCGCACAGAGATTCCCTACAGATGCACATCTTACCGGAGTTTAGGTGTTGATGTAAGCCCCCAAATCCTTCCCCAGCAAAAGGCGGTCTCAGTGTTCGGTCCGTGCTAATTTCCAGTCTCCATCCTTGCATCATCCATGTGTAAATGTTCCCAGGGTGTATTTCATCTGCAAACGGCTTGCAAGCAGGCCGATTCTCTTTCAGCCTAAACCAGCGAAGGCCAAGTATACGAGACATGATTATAACAGTAGACAGCAGTGTTCAATATAGGAGACGCAGAGTGGTGCAACGAGGACGCTAGATTTGAGGGCTACAAGCCTCCGGATTATTCGCAAATGCCTCCATGATATAACCTAACACCAGCGTAGTTGGATTACGCCCTAAAAACACTTTTGCATCTCAGATCTTCCTCGAAATCCGCAACCTACTCGTCGTCTTCCATATCGTCATCTTCGTCCTCCTCCTCATCCTCGTCAACCTCATCGTCATCCTCGGCCTCGTCGTCCATCAACTCGTCGGCATATTCCTCCTCAGAATCGTCGTCTGCGGCATTCTCCGCAACCGCATCCTTCTCCTCCTGCTTACGCTTCTTCTCGTCCTCTTTCCTCGCGTCCTCGAGCGCCTTGGCCTTCTGCTCTCTAATCTTGCGCTGCACGACAACGTATGCGCCGAGGGGCGTCTTCTCCCACTCAAAGTCGCGGAGGAAGGCATCCACCTGCGCGCGATCCTTAGGTGCGAACTCCACCTTGGCACGCTTCTCCTCAATGAACTTGGCGTTGGTCTCGAGCTTCTGCACCAGCAGCACAATCTGCGAAATGACCTTGTTGTTCTTGTTGCCCGTCTTAATCTTGCGCGCTCCCTTGAGCCAGCGCTTCAGCTGAATGAGAACGGGAAGGGTGAACTCGGGGAAGGCAATGTTCTTGCACCAGATGGTAAAGTATTCGCTCAAAAGCTCAACGACCTGCTCGGCGACACCATCCTGGTAGACACGCGTGCGGAGGTATGACTTGGGTGCCTTGTAGGCAACGTGGAAATCGAGGGGTTTGATGGACGAGGCCTTGGGAAACCTTCTCATGTCGGCAGACTCGAGAACCTCAATCAGAGCTGAAGCGAGGGGAATGTAGGTGTTGGTCGCGCGGGAGAGACGAAGGATGGAGCGGATGAGGTGGAACCGCAAGGGGAAGAAAGTCGGCGAGGGGATAAGGCGCATCGCACCCAGAGTAACTTGCACAAGGGGGTAAATCAGAAGCTTGAGCTGTCCCTCCTTGCCAGTCTCCGCCTCCTTCAGGGGGCTGCAGTGCTCGGCAAGCACGCATGACCAGAAGTCGAGCGAGTGGGTGTATTGCCAGTTGTAGATGATCTTATGGGCGTCTTTCTCCTTCTTGACGATGCTATTTCTGAGGTGGATGGCGAGTTGGCGGATAAAGGTGAAGGCCGTGGTGTAACCGACGTTTTGGTCAATGCCCCAAAGCTCGGCAGCGGAGTTCTTCAACAGGTTGATGCCCTGGATGGTGTTGGCATTTGTTGTCCTGCAACCGGAGACGAGTCCCTGGTACACCGTCTTGAGAACGGTCTCGCGAAGGCCCTTGTCACCGATAACGACGAGTTTCCGGAGGACCAGGAAGGAAGTGATCTTTGTCGTTTCTGAGCTGGCTGGTCTGGCCCAGTAGTTGACAACAGTCTTGATGAGAGCCTTGAGAAGCTTGCGGAAGGACATGAGGTAGGGGACGAGGGGCTCTAATGAGCCAATGGTGAGCTTGAGAGTAGCATCGTCGGACAGTGTGCCGAGAAGGTGGATGATGGACGCAGTGAAGGTCTTGATCATGATGGACAGGGTGTGGAACTTTTTCGAATCGGTAGGCACGTAGATCTTGCCAGACGCAGACTCCTTGATGGGCAAGTGGTGCGAGATGATCTCGGGTATTTGCTTCAAGGCAACAATCAAGATGTCGTGGAAGACCTCGGGGCTGGAGATGGTGTATCTCTGTGGGGTCGAGTCGTCGGCGTCGTCCTCATTGAGATGGGCGGCGCAGCGGAAAGCCAGGACAACCTGACGTGCAGCACGCAAGCTCTGCTTCTCAGCGAGAAGCTTCTTCCACTTGCCCACCATCTCGCGCGTCAGCTCATTGTCCGCGGCGACGACCTCCTCAACCTCGGCCTTCTTGGAAGCCTTCTTGCGCTTCTTCTTCGGTTGTTCCTCCTCGTCATCATCGGACTGATCGCTGCCGGCGCTGAGCTCGTCCACTTCAGCAAGATCTGCGTTCTCGTCAAAGTCGAGGGCCTCCGGGTCGTTTTCCTTAAGGAACTTGTAGAATTCGGGATCGTTCTGGGCGAGCTTGTCCATGGCTTCCTTGGTCATGCCGAGGTTCTCGTCGTCCTCATCGCCCTCGCCGTCTTCGCTGTCGCTTCCAATGGGCTCCTCCTCGACGGAGAATTCCGAGCCGCTGCCCTCCTCCTCAGAGTCCTCTTCCTCTGACTGCTTGGCGGGCCCATCGCGCTTCCTCTTGCCGAGCTTCTTTGTCGCATTCTTGTCCTTCTTATCGATGATTTCCTCGAAGCCGCCCTGGAAGAAGTCGTCGACACTCATGGCGCTGACTTTGGTGTCCTTCTTGTGGCCATTGGCCTTTGCCTTGGCAGCGGCCTCGTCATTCTTGAAGAATTCGGAATCCTTGGTCTTCTTGGTCGCCTTCTTGGCCTTGACCTGGTGGCGCTGCTTGATCTTTGCCGTCTCCTTCCTCTTGTCCAAGACACCCTTAAGCTTGTTCTTTTCAAACTTCTTGGTCGCCTTGAGGTTCTTCTTCTGGGAACCCATGATGGAGTATGGAGCCGGGATTATTCGGTCCTGTGGTTTGGGGGGGTAAAAGAGAAGTTTTGGCTGCAGGGACTCTGGGAAGTGGACGCGGGAACCTCGAGACTTTCTCAATGGCAGCAACTGCACGGCGTCCGTCCAAATTTTTTCTGAACGCTTATCTTATCAGAAAACCGCGCTAAGCCACCTTTGGTGCTGGTTCCTCAAAGGTCGCCCCACGTTCTACCTTGGGCCTGGGAACCTCCACACCCATGTCTTACGTCCTTGGCTGTGGCTCTGCGACACACCTGTCTGCACCATCACTTGCTACCTGAGAGCTCCCACAACAGCTCAAAAGCTGTCTGACGACCATGAAGCCGAACACGATACAAACACAGCTGCGAAGATGATGCCCCGGCAACCCTATGCGCCGACACCGCATAGCTATATTCCAAATACCACATTATCGGCAACCATCAATCTCGATGAGGTAAGTTGATAACGCTCAATCGCCGTCACCATCATCCCCTCCAACACCTGCCCCGCCCCCGCAGGCAACACCCAGCTGACATGGTGATGCCACAACAGGAGGTGAAGCTAGCCGACACACGCGCCGAGCGCGACCTGCAAGACTCGCTCGCCGAGATCTTTAGCATTATTGTCACTCTCGACGAGCTCGAGAAGGCTTTCCTAAAAGATGCGATCCCCGAGGCCGATTACACCGAGATCTGCGAGCGCTCCCTGAAGCAGTACAAGTCCATTTTAGCAGACGAGACCGTGGCAAAAGCCTTTGTGGGCTTGGAGGAATTCAAGGCAGAATGGGATGTTCGTCTACCCCTCTCCTCGCTAGCCAGAATCGCACACCTTGCTGACCCTGTCGCCCGTCCCCAACAATAGCTCGAAGTCCCCCGCGCAACAGAGCGCATCCGCGTCGGCATGCCCTCGACAACCGTGACAGCCTCATCAAGCGCTGCTCCGGCCCCCACGGCCGCCGGTAATACGAGTGGCACGCTTATTCTAGAAGCGACGCAGGAGTTCATCACCTTCCTCGACGCCGTGAAGCTGGGACTCCTCTCCAAGGACCAGCTGCACCCCCTGCTCTCCGACGTCATCCAGTCCGTCAACAAGGTCACCGACCGCGACTTTGACAGCAGGGGCAAGATTGTGCAGTGGCTCATCACGCTGAACCAGATGAAGGCCACGGACGAGCTGAGCGAGCAGCAGGCCCGCGAGCTCGAGATGGACATCCAGCAGGCTTACCAGGGGTTCAAGAGTACTCTCACATAAACAAAAAGGGTGGAAGGTTTCGAGAGAGGAGAAGTGTATGTTGAGAGGAATATTCTGTTCTTCCTTGTTGATAGATACCAATGCAGAGCGAATCCCACCCAGGTCTTGATTTTTAACCAGCCGTTTTACTTTTCCCCCTTGTGCCTATGAAGAATGCATGTCATACCTCGTGAAGAACGCCAGGTCGATCAACCATCCCGCCCCATCCAAACCCATTCATTTTCCTAAACCAAGAATGTCCAGAAGCTGGGATACACAAACTCATTCTCGAATATCCGCCTCACCTGCTCCAGCACAAACCTCTCTACCTTGCCCACGTTCTTCAAGCTCTGCTTGCCCCCGTCCCGGAGACCAATCTCGCTCTCGACCTGGATCTCCTGCAGCAAGCCGCCGAACCTCTTGCCCGGCTCGCTGGGGCCCGCGTCGTCCGCGCCCACGGCCGTGACCGCGTCCTCGGGGCTCAGGAAGCAAAACTGCACCCTCTTCCGGATATGCGCCATCACGCCGACGCCGTCAAACGTCAGGCCCGTGACGCTGAGCTGCACGGGGATCCCCACGAAGCTCGGCATCGGGTAGTCGAGCAGAATCTCCGCCGTCAGGCGCAGCCTCACGTCGCCGGCGTACCGTATGCGGAACACGGCCTGCAGGTCCTCGGGCCTCGGCTCCCGGAACCGCGGCGCGTTGTTGTTGGTGTCGTCTTCCTCTTCAGGCAGCACCTCCTCGTCCTCCTCCTGGATCGCCGATCCCGCGAGGTGCGTGTCCCGCGTCGGCGGCCTCGACGCACCCGCCGACGTGGGCGCCAGCGTCGACACACTCGACTTTTCCCTTAGCTGCGCCAGGGCCGGGTTGAAGTCGCTCACGGAGATGGAGCTCTGCGAGGGGTTCCGGCTGTGGCTCGGCGAGGAGAACCCGTTCGGCGGCGGTGACCCGACGGGCGATAGCATGGCCGAGGTGTCCAGCCTGTTGCCCATGTGCGCGCCCGCCACCGCGGCGAGGGGTGTCTGCGTGCCCGACCAACCCGTGCCCAGGTGCGACTGGAAGTAGTGCAGGTTCGACGTCCCGCCGAGGATCCCCGGCGTCGATACACCCAAAAACGGGCTGGGGAAGTCCCCAGACTGGCCCCGGAGTGCGTGCGTGCTCAGCCTCGGCGGCATCGACGCCTCCTCCCTCTGCCTCCTCCTCTCGCCGGCGCTCAGCTGGCTCCGAGGCCCATGCTGCTGCTGCTGTGCCTGCTCCTCGAGGATGGCCTGCTCCTCTTCCTCGTCATCCTCAATGTCGGAGTTTTCCTCGTAGAATTCCGGCAGCGGGTCGGTGATGTCCTTGAGTTCTAGTTCGGGGGCGATGGTGCCGAATTCAAAGTCGTGTACTTTGACGGATTTGATGAAGCGCGGCAACGGCACAGCCTGGAATTTGGTGTGAATAAAGTCGCGGATGCGGAGGGCGAGAGCCTCTCCGTCGGGCCCAGTCGTGAGCGTCTCCCAGTTGAGGTCTATTGACATTAGAGCTGTGATTTTGTGTGACAAGAGGAAAGATAAGTGAGGACTGAGTTGTTGATCAAACGAGGTCGTGAACTCAGGTGAGGTACACAAGGCAGTGTGCACACAGGGTTGATGATGGATACCTTACCCTCCCCTGTAGATTCTCTAAAGCCATCGACTACCTGCATAGTGCTGGGGCACAGTGACCTCCAGGTGACAAGGCACGGGGCTTGGTGGGGTGGTAACGGCAGCATGTTGCGCTAAATTGGCTTTCTGGTGGACCGAGTTGCTCGTTTCCACAGGTGTACTTGAACCCGTGGATGACATGAGGCAATGCTCACGGCCTCACTGCCTGATAGATCTCTCACCACGCCTGCTCGATCATCGTGGGGGGGTTCATCATTCGTTCATGTGCTATTAGAGGGTATTTGTATTGTGAAGGCCGTGATTCATCGACGCTATAATGCTACCTCAGGTCATTTCTTTTGCGGACTCTAATAGTTCCGTCCACTCCCTAAGACTAGAATACCTCCATAATCATCAATCCATGCATCCTCATTGAAGGAAAACGCCGGCAATGCAATGCTCTTCTCTCTCTCTCTCGGTGCTACAAAAGTTCATCCAATTACAGTCGAGTAACCCTTGGCAAGTAATGTTCATGGTTGGCCGAGAATTCAATCGGCCTTTGCATCTGATTCGAACCGTGGCCTCATGGTGTTGTTGAGTTGAGGCACGCCGAACTGATGCCAGCAATTTGGTGCTTGGAGGATATATCTGCAAAGCGTATTAGCCAATGACCGGGAGAAGCCCATCGAAGATATCTGGCAAGAACATACCTGGCCATCGCCTCCCGGAAACGAGACTTGTATTCCTTCGGACTGGTCACTGTCGGGCGATTTCTGCCACCGCCGGCAAATCCTCGATCTTTGATCCAACTCTCGAGTTTCTTGTCCCACGTGTACGTCCGGATACAGTCAATGATACCAACAACCAACTCCTTCTTAGCTTCGTCCACGGCGATCATCAATGAGTAGTCCATCACGTTCTGCCTTGCGAGGAACAGGGTGTCGTTCCAGACCTGCCCTTTTGTTAGTATCCGGCTTCTAATGCCTTGTTCGGGTAACTTACGGATGCTCTCAGAAGCTTCTTGGAATGCTCGCGCGCAAACAAGGGAGATTCGTAGATAAATTCAACCATGTTCTCGTCAAGAAGCACCTCGTTTTGCTCGCCTGTGGACTGGATCTTGCGATTGCGCATTGATCCCTTCAAGTCGAAAAGACGGGTCGGGCCACGATCGTAGAAGAGATTCTCCATCAAAAGAAGGTCTAGCTTGATCTCAACGCCAGTGACTGGGTTCTTGATAATCAGTTGGAAGAAACCTAGCATCTTGGCAATGACAGAAGGCAAATCATGGAACAGAGCCTCTGCCATGATGCCGAAGTAGGCTGGAGCAAACCGCAGGAAAGCCGACGTCTCAATCGGCGACAAGCCCTGCATGTACGTTAACTTATGATCTGGAGCACGGGAACACAGAGAATGGGGCATCGTCTTACCTTGAGTACCAGTCGATCGTCCAGAGTCTTGAGAAAGACCGACTTCGTTTTCCCGCCCTTCGAGTCCCACTTCAGGCAGCGGGAAAGAGACTCGACAATGCGATCTGCAACACCGCACTTCCGGCGAAGCGCATCGAATTGCTCGGCATAGAAGATCTTGCAGAGCATTGTCGCAGAACCTTCCTTGAATTGATACTTGAGATGGGTACCCGTGGCTCTGAGCAGACTCTTCTCTAGGTCGCCCTCTTCCATCAAGAACTCACCGCCAGTGTCAGACATACCAGAAGACTTGCCCTCGAGATTTGATGCCTCATAGTCCTTTTGTATGGCCATCCGCTCTTGACGGCGGATATCAGCCAGCTTCGTGCGATAGTCATCAGAGCTTAGCGCAAAGGCAATGACGGAGGAAGGCTCGTCCTCTCGCACAATCACGTCCGAGTCGAGGAAAATATGATCGCTGGCATTGACCGGGTAATCCAACTGAGGCCAGCCACTCGCAGATCGCTCGGCCCAGAAGTTTGTAAGCATCTTCATCAAGCTAGTCTTTTGATGCTTGGGCAGTTCCAACGGAATCTCGGTGCTGGGCTCAAGTGAGTCTGCAAGCTCCTTCACATCGGGTAGCAAGTCGCCTAGTATGGATTCTTCGTTGTCGCTTTGCCCTTCGTCGTCCGATCCACCGTGGCTGGCAGTAACCGTCGCAGTATCGTCAGTCTCTCCGCCAACGTGGTGCTCTTCAGATGCGGCCGGAGCTTCTGTTACAGGCTGTGGCTCTCCCGTAGGCGGCATTGTGTCAGGCTCCGTATGCACAACACCTGGAGGTGCCGGAGTAACGGGCGCAGTCTTTGGCTCGAGAATCTTGATCTCATTGTTTTGTTCAGTGTTTGACGGTCCGGCCTCCTGGACGGCATTGTCAATGTTGTGATAGACCTCCACAATGGCCTTGGTTGCTGAGCGTGGCAGACCGGCACGAGGTTGATGTTTCGCAAGGCGCTTTCTGCGATCTTCCCTTTGCCTTTCCTTCTCGAATTCGCGACTCAGTTGTTCAAAGTGCTTGGCAATCCTAGATACCTGAGACGAAACGTGCGTATCCTTCTTCTTCGTGATCAGCCGAGGGATTGAGGAGGGACCGGCCTTTCTGTGACTCTTCATCCCCAGCGCCAGCCGATCAAACGGTTTCTTTTCCACTTTGAAGGATGTCTCGCTGGAATTCTCGCTGGGCCCTGCGCCATCCTTTGGCAAGATTGACTTGGCAAAACTTGACTGCGATCTCGGCAGCGTTTGGGCGGGCTGAGACAGAGTTCTAATCATCGGAGCCCTACGAGCCAAAGTACGCTCCGGGTTTGCTTTCGGTGCCTCAGCGGACTCGTTGGCCAAGGGCGTTTCGTTACCCATGACCTGTTGCTCACGTCGAAGCTGCTCGACTTTTTCTGAAAGAGAAATTCCTGTGGAGGTCGTAGTGAGTGGAGGTCTGGTAGTTGGTGAGGTTGGCTCGATAGCACCCGAACCACTCGAGCTCTCTCCAGCTTCATCAATGGCAGCAAAAGAGAAAGGATTCTTCCCTTTTGGTGAGCTTGGAGTAGCTAGATCCAGAGGCTCTACTCTTTCCAGTACGGATTCAGCCGGCGTACTAATTTTGCTAGTCTCTGAGGACTCAGGGTTCTCGTCTCCGGTAACAGGCTTGTCCTTCAAACCGGATCCAGGTTCTTGCTCTTGGGATGGCTCTGGCTCGGGAATTGGCTCCTTTTCTTTGAGCTCTTCAGGCTCATTTCCTGGATCGCCTTCGTTCTTGGTCATCTCCGAGGCGCCTTCCTCGCTAGGTTCAGTTGGGTCGGTTGGTTGAGTCGAAGATTTCTCATCAGCATCATCTGAGAAAGTTTGAGATGGAGGTTCCCCGGAGTCCACGGTGGAGTTACCGTCTGTGGAGGGAAGAGACTCTCTCGATTCATTGTCCGAAAAGATCTTCTTGAGCTGAAGCATCGTCAACTGGCGCAAATCTTTGTCCGGCAGAAAATCGGTCTCGAATTTAGTGAAAGAAGCATCCCAATCGCCAGCCTTCTCCAGCATCTCTCTGACAATGGCATTGAACGGAATG